ATAAAATACTAGTAAAATTATTCTTAATATTAGGAAAACTATAAATACTATCTTATATTAATTCCAGAACTCTCTTATAACTTTATTTCTTTATTTAAAGAGCCAAGATTTCCTTAAAAAAAGAATAAAAAAATATCTTTTATAATTCTTTATTTAAAGTTTATAAAATAAATAAGGGAAACCGAGATTATCTAAATTTCTATTTAGCTAAGAATAAGATATAATATAATAGCTATATATAATAAAAGATTCGATTTATAATTATTTTTATCTAGTATAGAAATATATAAAGAATATAAAGAACTTTTATATTTCCGAGACCTTTTTCTGATTTATTTAAATTAAAATATAAAATCTAGTTTTCTGATTTAGATTCTAAATTAGATAACTTATTAATTTCTAATTTAGAAAATTCGGAATTATTTTCTAGAACCTTTTTAATCTTTTCTATAGGAACTTATTAATTAATAAGTCTTATTACGGGTTTTATTTCTTTTAGATAAAAAATTAATCTATTTCTCTCAGATTTTATAAATATAGGTTTTTAGATAATTACTATCTTTTTATTATATTTAGAATTATTTAAATAAATTTGAGATAATTAAATAAGAATTTTAGTATTTACTAAATAAAGCTATAGGAGTCTAAATAGTAAATAGAGCTCTTTATCTTATATATTATTAAGTTAAATAAAAATATTAATCTAATACTAAATTTCAAATACTTTTATTTCGAAACTTATAAAATAGATTAATTCGGAAATATTACTATAAGTTATATTTATTATAAGATTACTAAATTCCCGGATTTTTAATATAATTATTCTATATTTTAATATTTTAGCTAATTCTAAGGAAATTATATTTATTTCTAATTCTTAATTTTCCTAGAAAACCGATTTCGGAAGAGTAATATTTATAATCTTTCTCTAATAAAAGATTCTAGTAATAATAGGACTTCGAAATATTTTTTATTTAATTAATAGAAAAGATTAAACTAGAATAATAGAAATCTTTCTAAATTATCTAGTTTTTCCCAATAGGGATTTTTTAGAAATATTAGCTAATAATATATTAAATCCGGATTCTTTTATCTTTTTTCCCTTATAATTAACTTATATAAATAGGTTTCTAAATACTTTAGAAAGGTCTGGGCTTATTTAAAATAAATTAAAAAGACTTATAGGAACCTGAATTATTTCTATTAATTTTATATAATTAATAGAACCTTTTTCTTTATATTTAATAATTTTATAAAGTTATTAAATAAATTAAGTATCTTTCTTTCGAGCTGCCTTAATTATAGGTTCTGAAATATAATTCAAGATATCTTTAATATTTACTTACTAATATTTCTTACTTAGAGCTAAATTTATAAAAGCTTTAAACTTTACTAGGCTATTTAGATAGCTTTTACTAAGAGAAACCTATTCTAGCTTATAGCTCTTTAATTTAAATTAATCTCCTAATAAATTCTTTCCGAAAATTAAATTCTTAATAAAAGATATAAATTCCTTAAAGAATATATCTAATCTATTTAAGATAAAACTATATAGTAATACTAATTCCGAATATCCGGATCTTAATAAGAATATAGAGACTTTAAGGTTTACTAAATAAAATAAAGAGAATTTTCTATAGACTATTTTCTTTAAATAAATAATCTCTTAAAGTTTCAAAAATAATTCGGAAGTCTTATATTAAAACTTTATATATCCTAATTAACTATAATTAAAATAGATTATATTATTTTACTTAATATTATAGGCTTATATCCTATTAATAAATAAGTTCTTTAATAAAGTATAAGGTAAAAGCTTTTTCTTTTCTTTACTAAAGTCTTAGGAATTTTTCTAGCTATTTAATTTTCTAAATAGCTTTTCTTAAGAAATCTGTTCTGAAACTTTTATAGAATTAGGTTCCGATTCTCTAGCTATAATAGATTTCTATTCTAGTTAGGAAGTCTAAAAAATATCTTAGGAATTACTAATAAAATATTATAGAATTCCTTAGATTTTATACAGAAATTAAAAACCGGATTAGAAAAACTGAAATTCTAATTAAAGAATAAAATAAACTAGATATATATTCTATAGAATAATTAGGAAATATAAATTTTGGATAGGAAGTTCTTAGAAAGCTTATAGAATTTTAGTATTTAAGTTTACTAGAACTAAAGTTATTATATAGCTATAATAAGAAAAGTAAAACTATTTTAATTATTCTAGTTTATATTTTTTTACTAAGTATTTCTGGATTTCCTTTATAATAATAATTCCCTACTAGGTTTCTATAAGGATTTTATAAGATTAAAATAATAATTTATAAGTAATAACCGATTTTCCTAATATAGTATTATAAAGAACTTTATTATAAATTCCTTTAATAAAAGCAGAAATAATAATCTAAAATATAATAATTTTAATTAGAGATAAAGCTTTTCTAGCCTTTAGAATATTATAGCTATATACTTAGTATAAAAGATAAATAGTTCTCTAGTAATATATAAGAAGTAGTTTATTAGCTTCCTAAAAAAGCTATTTAATTTCTAATTAGATATTAATTTCTAAGGTATTAGAAACTTTAGTAGAAAACTGAATTCTTAGAGCTTCCTTAAATTCTATAATATTTTCTTATTTAGTAGAATTCTTCTTATTAATAAGTTCCCGAAACCGAGATATAGAATTTAATTATTAGGTAACTTTATTATTAAATAATATATTTATTGCCTTAAAGAAAAGAGAAGCAAATAGCTTCTTATAGCTAGCCTTACAGAAATTATATCTTAAATATATAAGCTACTAAATAGCTACTATATTACTATTATACTAACTGAACTAAATATAATCGGGAAAAATAGCTATATTTATAATTGGATTTAGGGTTTTTTTAATAGAGCTCGGAAAAGAATTCCTATTAAGATTCGAGATATTTATATTAATATTAGAGAAGCTTCTTTTATAATTCTGGGAACTTCCTGGGCTTAGAAAGGTATTTGAAACAGAAACAGGAATCTAAAGTAATTCGAGCTCTATATAAAGAATTATATCGAGATTCCGAGAGAAATCTTCTAGTTTATATTTCTTGGAAAGAGAAGCTAATATTAATAGATAATAAATTAATTTATTAAATAATATATTACGAAATCCTGAACTAGAACTTAATAGAGTCTTTAATTAAAGAGTAATTAGATAATATAAAAGTATATTTTTCTAATAATCCAGGATTATATTATAGTAATAGTTTTTAACTAGTTAGAGAGTTCTCTAAAGCATATTTCTAATTAGGAATCTCAGGTGTCTTTTAGTAAAATATATTATATAGCTTGACTAGAATCCCGAATTATAACCTATAGATAGAACTAGGGATTCCGAATAGGAATATATAACTTTCTAATTAAGATCTTAGGCTAAAAGAAAGATTTCTAATAGTAGAAAAGGAAATCCGATAGTATAAAGGTAATATTTTAATAGAAATAGTTCCGTTACAGGAAAAGGCCTCGGTCGCAATTTACTAATAAGCCTTTATAAACCGTGAAATACCTTAATATAGTGATCTAGGAAGCTTGAGCTATAGGAAAAGATAGGGAATAATCCTCTTAATAGAAATCTCGAGTCAGAATCGAGATTTTAATAATTTCTGGGTTTCGGCACCAGAAAATTAATAGAATCAGGAGGGGATATAAGGGTGTGGATTGAGTCCTGTGAGAAGAACTAGCTATATAGACTCTGAGGCCTAATAAGGCAACCACGCATCACTAAGACTACTTCCAATTTCGCTCCTTCTACGGTGACAGAATAGCCGAGTCGCTAAATTTGACTATAGTACCCAACCTCGAGCTACCGAGAATGCCTCCGTGGGGCCGCAGGCGTAAATTGCCTGCCCGAAAGCCGGTCTTCTCCTTCCATTAATAAAATTACAAGCTTGTTTTTGAAATTATATCCAATTGCGGCTATGCAATATATAGATGGCCGACCGCTTGTAAACTTAAATTGGATGCAATCGAGTCGCTGTTGTTCTCCCCTTTTGCGAAGGATTTTGAGTCGTTATCATAAATTCGATTGGATTATTGTCTTATTATAGTAAATACCCTTATACCAGTACTCCTTCCCCCGATCCCAATTCTCAATTGAGAAGGTCCATTGCTTTCATTTTATAGCTTCTGAAAGAAAAGGCTTGTAATCGGGGACGTAGTGGTGATATCCGTGACGAGCGAAGGCAGCTAAAATTGTATTATTAGAGGCTTTGATACCGTGCTCTCGCGCGATCTCCTGGAGGGGCATTGCTCGCCGGTCAAAGTGGCCTGTCATCTATTTAATTATCTCTTCTACTTTCGCATTAGAGATAATAGAAGGTCTTCCAGCTCGCTCTTTGCCAGTTCGTCGATCTCCTGTAGATACCCATTCTCTTGCAGTTGTACGAGGGACTTGAGTTAGCTGGGCAGCTTGCTTTTGTATATGCCCCTCCTCAAGATACGCGCGAAAGCGGGACCGCCGAGGGGTCTCGTGCTCTCTTCTGGCAGTGATTCTTTTAGTGTACAGGTCATAATTGCAGAGAATAAGAGGTGGATGGAGAGAGAGAGAGAGCTAAACTGATGGTGGTGAGAGAGAAGGTGGGAGAGAAGGTGCTAGAACAGCGTGGCACTAAGCTCACCGCCTTACAGGGGGGGTGACGCTGATTTCTTGAAACTCCCTTTCGTACCTAAGCAAGCGAATACAGTACCGTAAACTGACACTACCTACCGAGCCTACCTCCTTCTCCGGTGCGCATCCGAGAGAGGCAGAGGAATAATACAACCGTTCACGGCCACGCTTTTTGACTTGTTTATTCGTACAAGGAGGCGCACTAGCTGTTCACTTCTTCTTGCTAAGCATACCCAGTTGCCCGGAACGTATTAGGCGACTATACTTCTGGCCCTTCCTAGCAAGTGCTCTCAGGCAACCTTCTCTCTACAGCCATTTGTCACAGCCTGGGTATCCTAGATTGGATTCCTACACCTCGCTACTGTCTTGACTTCGATGGAGCCCTTTGACGAAGCTCAATCTTCACTGTGCTGTCCACTAAATTGGAAACCCCAGCGGTTCTGCCCTTGGGTCGCCCTGCTGCCTGGATCTCCGGGGGAAGCTGAATATCGTAATTACGCAGAACAAAGATCATGACAATCTTCATGATATACAGGGCGGAGAATCGGCCAGGACATGCGTTCGAACCGTGACCAAAGGTGAATTGTCCTGGGCCAGTGGATGTAGCCTGGTACTTTGCCTCGTTTCCGGGCATTTCACGCATACGAGAAAATCGATAGCCGTCGAAGACGTTGAGGGGAGTACTACCTGTTTCGGCCATGGCCTGCGTGCCGCCGATTGGGTTCTTTTCTGATTGACTGTTTGGCTTCTGTTAGAATAGGGAATTAAGATCGCTTTTATCAAGCATCGACGTGACAACCTGTCTGATGCCATTTTTTTTTATTAAAAAAAAGTGCAATGGTGGGCACGGGAAGGGAAGGAAAAATGGAGCGCTACATACTGGGCGGCATACATGGGGAAAGTCAGTAGCACTCCCTTGGGGAGTCACAGGCCATTCGAGAAGGTGATATTCTTGTGTAGTCTTCGAGAGAGACCGTCTGCAAAAGGAATTTTAGCTGGAGTGAGGAGGGCAAAACTTAGAATCTCAACGTACCAAAAGCCAAGGGAGTAAGTCGTTGGCTCTCCTTTAGAAAGCTGTCGAGCTTCTTCATCTTTGAAACTGCCGCCATTGTCAAATAAAGCTGACCATTTTCATCTATCGACTCTCCATCATTCGCAATTGCTGCCTCAATCTCTTCTCGCAACCCGTCTACGTACTCAGGATAGGTCGCTAGGTCTAGCAAAGCCTGTGACACAAGTCAGCCACGGCTTATCGGAAATGTTCGTAAGCCTCCTTACGTTTGTCGTTGCACTGGTGGTCGTATGAAGCGATGCAAACGAAACCTGCCCAGGTTGGATTAGCAAGTCTACTCATATCTTGGGAAGTTCAAGGCAGAACTTACCTGCATTTGCATGAGGCCTAATTTCGTGGACCTCTTCTCATGGTCCGGCAGATATTTCAAGAGCCACGATATCCATGCGCCGCGGCTACCTGCAGCCACTATCTTTGGTTTCTCGCTGGTGACTGACAATATGTCCCTGATGACAGGGTCCATCCAGCTCTTGGCATCCTGGAGATGAATCTGGACTCTCTTCAGCGAGGACAGAAAAGGAGCGACCCAAGGCCGCAAAATTCGGTTATACTGTTGCAAGTCGTTGCGCACCATAGCCGCATCAGCCGTGAACATTGTGGATGTCCGGAGGTATTCTGGCTGCCGGCACAGCTCTGGGCCAACAAAAATCCTGCCTGAGAGTCGACTGACAATCTGGAGAGCGTAGGGCTGCGCGGGAACCGCTGTCCAGCTCTCCTTGACGTCTTTCATAACGGTAGCAAAGGCGATTCTAGCTTCTTCCTGGAGAATGGGCATGAGACCTCCGATGCTCTTGGTCAGATCTATGCGGATGGCAGAGACGAGCTCGTCGACGTTCTCGCCGAGGTGAGTATGCTTGCCGTCAAACATGAAATGGACAAGCTCTCTGAAGCTCATGTCCTCCTCTGGAAGCTCGATTACCTCCTTAAACATAGACATGGGTAGGACGACTCGAGGGGGGTTGATTGCGAGCAGGAAAGGTGAGCCCGGATACTGCAGTGAACCGTTATTTCTACATCTCCCAATCCATAAACATTTTAATCTACGTACCTTTCTGTAACCTTCAACAATCGCCTCTCTGGTGTCGCCGCTGGGGACTTAGACGACAGGAAAATGCAGTTTTGGCGTCGTCTCACCAAATGCCATTCTGAGGATGAGATACACGACCAGTATAGCAGGTGCCACAGTCCAAGCCCAGGACTGGACAGTGTGTAGCATTAGGCCTGCCATGATGAAGCCGGCTTGAGATCACTGGTCGCACGTCTTAAAAATAACGTCCGAAGCACCGAAGCGCAACATTGGGGCACCAGCGACTTATAAAGTAGAATGGCTGATCCCATGCCGCACGTGATCCTAGCACACTATTACTCATCTCTTTACAAAGTGTGTCCGCTGTCTGTGCGAAATACAGGTTACAGTACCTCGTTAGCTCCCCCACGCGGTGCAGTGGTGCAGTCCCTGGAATACGCTCGGACGAGGACGTGCTTTGTGAAAGGGCGAGTATCTCTTATGCATAAGCTACAGCCTAGTAGCTTACAGGTAACTGACCTCCAGCCCGACCTACATCATTCTGAATGAATATATTGCAAGTCCGGCGCGTAAGGCTACTGGATTGTTGTCTGTGGAGTGTCTTTCCTAAAACGACTACTTGGCGGCGAATATTGTATTGGACCTATTGGTCGGGCAACCTGCATAATCGGTCATGCCGGGGACCATGGGCTTTGCATCCCCGACTCCCCGGGTTTCCCGAGCCTCATGGCTCTGATACCCTGACCGTAATCTTACTTAGCTGTGACCGAAAATACGGTAGCAGTCGGAAATAAGGTTCATAGCAGTTAATGTACTTCGAATTATGGCCATTGCTAGTCATCAAAGACATTCCCGCTAAAGAGCTCTTTAGTTACTCACCTTTTTCAAAGGTCTTTCCCTATTAATGTTTAGTGTAGGTTAATTCGTTAGCATTTCCCACGTAGAGTAACCCTAATTTACGCTTTAGCGGGGATAGACTTTTGAAAAAATGGAGTAGCCATGGAGAGAAATGAGAACTTTCAATTTGCACTAAATGCATTGCAGAATCTCATTACCTTATACGACCGAAGTGTGAACCTCCCTTCCAGACTTGATTCCTGACGGTGGAGGTTGTCGAATCAGTAAACCATTCACTGTCGGCACCAACATCTCGCAGGCTCCATACATCCAGGCACGATCTATAAAAATATTATTCGGAGCCATGCCTCACAGTCGCTCAGTCATCATCACAGGTGGGACAGCTGGACTTGGTTTTTTTGCGGCTCGCGATATCGCCAAAGAACACGGGTCTCCCTGATGCAGTATACCACTCCGCCGAGGAACTGGCTCACCCTCCTGCTTCTGCCGTCAGCATACCAGGTCGGCAGCGTTACTCGACCACCAAGCTAGCTAATGTCTTGTGGACGTACGCGTTGAACAGCCGACTCGTGCGGCGCGTGCCAGAACGTGCCATCACGGTCAACGCCTTTGATCCGGGTCTGATGCCTGGGACGGGCCTCGCTCGTGTGGCCGTCTGGTACGAGCGGATCCTGTGGTTCTACGTTCTTCCCCACATCATGCCGCTGCTGAGAGTGGTCATCCCAAATGTCCACACGGCGGAGGAATCGGGCCAAGCGCTTGCTCGATTGGCCGTGGGGAAAGACGTCGAGGGTGTTAGTGAGAGGTACTTTGAAGGCTTGAGAGAAATCAAGTCGAGTAAGGATAGCTACGACGAGAGCAAGCAGGAAGACTTGTGGGCATGGACTGTTGACTATTTGTCAAGCGGGAGTGGCTCCGAGAAAGCGCATTTTGAGTCGTTTGCTTAGGGCTTTTCACCTTAGTTAATTATTAGAGAGATGAATGAGACTTAGACTTTTTGAAATTTTTGTTTACTAGTAGCCTTCCATTCAGGGTACATTTCATATTTACCTCCTTTTTTTCAAAAGTCTTTCCATATTAAAGCGTAAACTAGGGCTACTCCATCTGAGGCCACCCAACGAATTACCCTATACTCAGTAATTTGCTGTATTTACGGAGACAGACTTTTGAAGAAAGAAAAAGGGAGTAGCATCGCATGTGAGTTTGGATATGAAATTATAGTGGAAATTACACATAAATACGGTCTGTGGCAGCGGTTGAACTAGATAATGAATCTCTGGCAATTGCTAACGTTCCTTTTTACCACTGCGAGCCAACGAATTACCCTGTACTAAGCAGTGACAGAGAGAGATATTTGAAGGGAAAAAAAGGGAGTACGAAGTACAATCTTCACCAGCCCTCGCTTGGCTCTTCCGCGTAGTAAGTGCCCGTCAGTTTCTCGGGATCTCCCTCCGTAGCCGCGCGCACAATGACCTTTGCTCCATCGCTGGCGTCCTTCCGACCCTGACCCCCGGTGAATCGGGTGCGGCACATACCCGGCGCGACAGCAATGACGGCAATCTTGTCACTGGCAAACTTGACGGATTGCGCGGCCGTGATCATATTGAGAGCCGCTTTGCTACTGCGGTAATCGGGCGCGTACCACGCGTTGGCATTGAAAGCGTAGTCCTTCTTCCCCGCCATGGTGATCAGACCCAAGCCGGACGTGACGTTGATCACGCGCTTGTCGGAAAAGAAAGACGCCTTGAGAATCGGCAGGAAGGCTTCGGTGACGGCCGCAACACCAAAAACGTTGACCTCGAAAATCTGACGATATTGCTCGCGAACCGGCTTGTCAGGCACCATACCGAGTCCGGCGTTGTTGATCAGAATGTCGAGATGCCCGAACTGGTCCTTCACGCTCTTGGCCGCCGCTTCGACCGACGCATCATCCGTCACATCGAGGGTAATGGGTGTTACCGCCGCCTTGTCCACCGCCTCGGTCTGAAGTTGTTGAACGGCCGCTTGTGCATTGGACGGGTTTCGTGCGCTGACAAGAACATGATACTTGCCCGAGCTGACTAACTGCTGCGCCACAGCAAAACCGAGCCCCTGGTTAGCTCCAGTGATGAGGACGAGAGCCTTAGAAGTTGAAGATGCCATTTTGAAGTACAGACGGGGGAGCAGCAGCAAAAGCTAGAAGAATTTCCAATTTCGTAGGTAGCTATTCCAAGATTTTGGTCGGATATATGTTCTTTCCCCAAGACAAGGATGGCGACACACGAGTAAGTTTTGGTGTTGCCATTAAGTAAAGGCAGAGGGGTTTCCTTTCATGTATCGGATTTATCGGGTTTATGTCGTAGTAAATGCCGCTGCATGCGCAAAATATGCTCTTCAGCTCCGGAGAAGGCTATATCTTGTTAGATGCATATCGTAGATCATCAATCAGAGAGGCCATCTATTGTACCACCAAGTTGCATGTCTCACAGTTCCCGGTATACTCGGGAACATTCCTCGAGGCAGTCGGCAAACAAGTACAGGCATTAGTACTAATCCTAACCCTGGTGGGGGCTGCAGAGAAATATATTCTACTAATATTTTGGTCACGCGTTACGGTTTTTTTATCACAAGTACTGCAACCGTCGCAGCTATAAGTTATTATTATCTTTGATTAGTATCTTTTCTAGATGACATTTGTTGGGCTGAAATAAGGTTTTGCGCGAGCTAGGGCCCGTTTCGCACGGGTAAGCTGACTAATCCCGCATGCCTGTGGTGTTGGGTTCGTTACGAGTTAAGGCTCGGCTCAGGTTAGAGCAGCGACTGCTTCGGTCCAAAGACGGAAGTGGACTTTGGAGAGGTTCAGATTTGGCGTAGATTATATCAGTAATACTTATTACAGATTGGCCTTGAGGAAAAGGCGAGCGGTCGACTCTAACTGCCTGGTCTGCTCCGCGACTTTTCTCATCTGGCGATTAACCTTGATTCTGTTTTCGCGGAGTTCCTCTTGTCTCTCTTCGTCTTTCTCTCCGATGGCTTCTTCATCTCCTGTCGAATCTCGCGCATCTCTTTGTCGTGTTTCTCCTTGAGCCTCTCGAGCTCCTCTTGGACCTCACAGCCAGCGCCCGTATCAGCCAACTTCAAGACTTAATCGACCATTTTGCGTTGGATGTCTAGCGTTACAGGCTGCGCTCTGTTAATGAGATGGTCTATGATCTTCTGCCCGGAGACTGCACCATCGCCTTGCCGGAACACGCGGGCCGCAGCCGACGAGGAATATCCAGAGGTCGTTCTGGTAGACGAGCTGATCCTCTCGTCTACTTGCATCGGCAGCCAGGCAGAGACTCCACATTGTAGTCGCAAGAACTACGCTCCCAAGGCCCTGCTCACCACAGAGCTTGTGGGACATGCGCAAGTTCTTTATGCCCAATGCGAACGTCGATAATTCGGTGCAGGTAGATAATGCCAGTAAACCTGACCCGGAACTGATGGGCTTGAGCGAGCCAGTCTGCGATCTCTCGAAGGATGTCCGTATCGGACCGGTAGGTATTATCGAATCCCGGAGTATTAACCAAGAAGATCTTTTTGCCATTCGGCATAATGCATGGTACTACTATTTCATCCTTACTGGTACCTGTCATAATTGATTAGCCCGCGTCAACCACGGTGCCTTCCGATTAGTCTAAGTACGAGAGCGATGAAGAGCCTGGGGCCTTCCACGTCACCTTCCAACCACAAGGTCAATCTCAAAATGCTTCAAGAATCTGCCCCGCACTATGTTCTCCTTCTCGCCCATCACAATAGGCCACAACACTCGCCCAGCTCCATCTTCCCATCCGATTGGACACCCCTCCTCCCTTCCTTGCCTCTTCCACGACTCCAAGATCTCAGGGGCTGCGCTCAAATAACCGGGATCCACAGAATTCATCGCAACTTTCCTGTGCCTCCAAGCAGGCTGAGCCTCCGTCTCGGTGAGCATGTTGAGCGCTGCCTTGGCGAGATTGGTGTGCACATGACGACCGTTCTTGTTCCAATGATCTGGACGAGGTTCAAACGCACCCTCACGGGCTGAGACATTGATGATGTATGCCTCGGGCTTCGAAGTTTGGATTTTGGGTTGAGAGTCTACTTGTGAGCGAGGAGAGCCCATAAGGGGAAGCAATTCGCGAACGAGGATGAAAGGGACGAAGGTGTTGACAGAGTGGGCGGTGATTACGTCTTCGTAGGGAATCTCGTAGATAGACTGCATCCATGAGGTTTTCGAATCCGCGGGTTTGGTAGAAAGAGTGACCTCTTCTGATTGTTGAGCTAGTGTCGTACAAGCATCCGTTGAGGTGGCCAACGCAGATCTCAAGGATGTATCCCCTTTGAACCCGAATTCAAGCATCCGCGAGTTTGGAATTTCACCCCGAACCCGTGGCTGATAACTTGAATCTATGAGCAACAGCCTGTCATTGGCCCCTTCCAATGTCAAGTGTTCCTCTCTTTGGACAGCCTTCCGTTCCGTTTCCAAAGAGTCCGTCCAAGTCTGCGCCGCATTGTTGATCAATATATCCAGTTTCCCTTTTCCCTTTTGATGCCATTCTCCCAATTGCTTCCTGATAACATCCACTAGATAAAAGACGTCACTTGCTGCCCTGAAGTCAGCTCCGACGATTCTCAACCGTTCATGCCATGATTCAGAGTCCTGTTCAGACAGATATCGAGTGGCTGCGTCACACGGATATCGAGAGGTGACGATGACTTTTGCACCACATCTAAGTAGTCGGAGTGCTGTGTGATATCCCAGATGTACCCTCGCACCTGTTACCAAAGCAGTCCTTCCATGAAGATGGAAGCTTTCGGGTAGTGACAAGCCAGAGGATGCAAGGTTGAAATCCCCGCATTGTTTACAGAGCGAGTGATACTGTGGGTGACGAGAGACGAGAAGGTATTGACAGGTATAACACTTCTTCTCTTCTGTTGGCCTTTGCATTAATTGGCTGGTTGAATTTGTGCTATGAATTTCGTTCTCTAATTTTTTGGAATGCAGATAGTTGTTCAGAACCCGCACAAGATCCCCGGATGAGGTTCGAAGGTTGACTCCATCAAACTCTTGACTCTTGATACAAAAGTCTAGAACATCCAAAGCTGTCTCAAAATCCTCTCGTGAGGGCATTCTTTGCCCGATTGAGACAGTCGGCAGTCTCCCCTTCGATTGGTGACTCATATGGTCCAGATATGCTTTGATGCTCTGCACTGTGCCTGTGTACTGAACTCTGCTGATGGATCGACCGTACCTGGCTATGTCAGGATTCAACCGCATGGCAAGCTCATCTCCTAACTTGGATCCAGCGGGTGGGAGGTATAAAGCCAAGATGCTAGGGAGCTTTTGGGCCGTACAAAGCTCTTGGTCACGTTGGATTTGCTTGGCGATTGTATCTCCATCCTGAGTTCGGAGGAATTCGCGGCAAGAGGATTCTGAATCCAACATGCCTGTAAATGGCAGCATAAGGTCTCAAATGGGTTGGACAGAACGTTTGCACGTTCTAAAAGGTTGTTTGTAGGATTCAGATGAAGTGTCCATGATTTAAGGTGGCCGGAGGAAAGTTTCTCCGCTTCCGACAACACCCCATCCTTCATCTCCTGACTAACCTTATGAGTCAAGCACTAAAATAGAAAGACATCAACCTCAAAATCTATCACGAACAACCTCCCATATCGTATGCATTCGTTTGCCTTTCACGTTCATCATGGAAGCCAAGTTAAGGGCCTTGCAAGGACCGACACCCGCCTTTGTGATCAAGCTGCAAAGGCTGCCTCTGGAAATCGTCCACCAGATCCTCGACTGCCTGCCACTCTTCAAAGTACTCAATCTTTTGGCTCACAAGACGCCATATGCCGAGAAATGTGTGCTTACGCACAGATACCTTGGATTGGTGTTCAAATCGCCATCCGATATTGCAAGCGTGATCGATTACTTCCTCCTCTTTCGCGACATACGCATCTTCTGCGGCCAGAATTTGAAAGATAATTATCTCATCGCATTGAACTACTCAGTGAGTGGATATGAAGGTTCTTCAAATTACGACATAATAGAGCCCTTGATTGATGAGATGATCTCTGATATCAGAGGCCACCTACGATTGGAGCTGCCTGACATAGACCTGATCCGTTCCTCCACGGACTTCCCTGCTCCGCTGGACAGTTCTTTCCACAACCTTCTGAACCGCTGGTTTTGGATCACTGATGCGAAGGAAAAGATTAATATCGCCAAAGCGAATCAGTGGAACAAGGCCGCCGACTTGTTGGAAGCCTACCCCGCAATGTTGAAGAAAACGCTCGATCCTTCCCAGGATGGCCTGAGGCCCAACACTGCCCATATTGCTGACAGATTCCGAGGCAATGCAAAGCGATGTTTGAGAGACCGCCAATTGGCACATCCCCAAAATAGGCTTCGGGCAGGGTGGCTGCCTTGTGTTCCTGGGGTAGACCTCATCGAATTGGTACCTTACGATCGATACCTGTGGCTATTTTTAGAAACAGTGAAGAAGCATCCTCCCGTGGACGTTATGGACCACATTGCAGCTAGCTTACAGAGTATTACTCTGAGTCTAACTGAGGTCATGGACACAAACCAAATGCCAGAGGGTGCCACAGGGCGAATGGAAGGAGAAAAGTATCGATACCCGCCCGATACTGCTGACAATATCCGAATCGCGATGAATGGTCTATTCTACGTTTACACCGGGTCCACACTGTTAATAGTTCCACGTATTCATTGGCCAGCTACTATGGAGCCTGACTTTGACAACTATGTACAGAATCCACGATTCTTCATTGGCCTCAAGCCACATCCGGCGAACTTACCTGCGGAGTTTCACAGATGTCCCGTGCGGAAATGTAAACCCCACGATGATCGGGAGTACAAGTGGCTAGAGGCATTTTTGAAAGCTGTTAGCTGGATGCAGAAGGAGTTCGGCTCAAGTGGTTAAGGCGAGGTGCAATGCAGATTTCTGTTGAGGCATGTGGAGGATGCTGTATAGAGGCAACGGTGGGGGTGTTGATTGAGGGGAGGACTTTCCAACAACTGAGAGATTGTAAGGGAGAGGGCTGATGAAGTTCATCTGGAGAGCAGGAAAAGGCGTCGAGAGCATGGAAAGAAGAAGTATGGTAGGACAGTGAGCCCCTCGTGCTTGCTTCATTTCTGCGCCTCTTCTGAGATTGAGTATAAATAGCAGCAAGAAAGAATTGCATCTTTGATTGCATGACTGTTTGCCATTGGCCATTACCCCTTTCTTCAGGGGGCGGACTCGCTAAATCACAGCACCCTAGCCCCTGAACGATTACCTAATAAGAGCACCTGAATTCGATTTAACGCGTCACGTCGCGTCTCCACAGCACATCCATCAACCGACCCATGGCATAGAGCCCACACGTCAACATGGGGAAGCCAACTTCCTCGCAGCCCAAAACTCAAAAGTCGATATCAAGTTTCTTCACTCCGAAACCTGCGTCAAGCTCCGCGCCCTCCCAGCGCTCACAGCCGTCACAAGAACCGCCACCCGTCCAAAAAGAGACCAATCTCTACCATGCCGAAAGCGACGAGGAACCTGTGCGGCCAGCTACTAATAGTGTGCCAAAGAGAGCATTGACAGAGGACTTGAGCGGCGGAAATACTGGCCTTGTCGAAAGACCAGCAAAGAGAGTGAGAGGTGACGACGAGATTGGGAGCAGTGGTTTCTTCGCCGAGCGAGAGCCACCAAGACCCAACCCTACACCTTCGAAATCGAAGATCTCTCCGCGGACTGAAAAATATCTGTACAGTTCATCCGCGCAAGCCCCATCGAGTGTACCTATCCCGGACGAAGAAGAGGAAGATGATGCCGAGAAAGCTAGGAAAGCAGAGCTGCACAAGAAATGGGTGAAACGGATGGGTGGCGCCACAATTGGTCGGCGTTGGGTCAGTGAGGAGACACCTGCGGAGGATGGAGACGAAGATGATGAGGATGAGGAGGAAGAGGCACGGCCTGCGAAGAAGGCGCCGAGGAAGGGAGCGAAAACCGGGAAGTTGACTCCCATGGAGCTGCAAGTCCTGGATATTAAGAGGAAACACATGGATACATTGTTGATCATCGAAGTGGGATACAAATTCAGGTTCTTTGGGGACGATGCGAGAGTTGCTGCAAAGGAATTGGGCATTGTGTGTATACCTGGCAGGTTCAGATATGATGAGCGTACGTCACCCCTTTCCTCTGGGCCAGGCAATATTGACCTTAGACAGATCCTTCAGAGGCACACCTCAAGAAATTTGCGTCGGCGAGCTTCCCAGTCCATCGGTTACCAGTACACACGAAGCGGCTCGTTGGCGCTGGTCACAAGGTCGGCATAGTTCGACAAATTGAGACAGCCGCTCTGAAGAAAGCTGGAGATAATCGAAATACCCCTTTTATAAGAAAACTTACCAATGTTTACACAAAGGGCACATATGTGGACGATATAGAGGGACTCGGCCAAACTGATTCTCCAGCTGGGGGCGCTCCTGCAACTGGCTACCTACTCTGCATCACGGAGGCAAAAGCTAAAGGATGGGGAACCGATGAGAAGGTGGATGTTGGAATTCTGGCAGTTCAACCAGCCACTGGAGACATCATCTACGATACATTTGAAGATGGCTTTATGAGGAGTGAAATCGAAACCCGATTACTACACATCGCACCCTGCGAGTTCTTGATCGTGGGAGATCTAACGAAAGCCACCGACAAGATGGTGCAACATCTATCGGGAAGCACATTGAACGTCTTTGGGGATACTATTCGGGTTGAACGAGTTGGCAAGGGCAAGACTATGGCCGCTGAAGCATACTCTCATGTTGCTCAATTCTACGCTGACAAGCTGAAGGCTCAGAAGGACTCTGGAAACGAAAGGGAACAGGCACTTCTCGATAAAGTACTCAAGCTACCCGAAGAAGCCACAATTTGTTTGTCTGCAATGATTACTCACATGACTGAGTATGGACTGGAGCACGTCTTCGACTTGACTACATACTTCCAGTCGTTCAGCGCTCGATCGCACATGTTACTGAACGGCAACACTTTGACCAGCCTGGAGATTTACCAGAATCAGACAGACCACACTGAGAAAGGCAGCTTGTTCTGGACGCTGGACAAGACTCAAACTCGGTTCGGGCAGAGATTACTTCGGAAATGGGTCGGCAGACCACTTCTCGATCAAACTCGACTTGAAGAGCGGGTTGCTGCGGTAGAAGAACTGAAAGATGGCCATCAGACTCTCAAAGTGGACAAGCTTCAAGCTCTCCTCAGGAATATCAAGTTTGATTTGGAAAGAAGTCTGATACGAATCTATTACGGAAAATGCACACGGCCAGAACTCCTGACAGCTCTTCAAACACTGCAAAGAATCGCCAACGAGTATGGAAATGTCAAGACCCCATCAGATGCGGGCTTCGCTTCCCCTCTCATCAATGAAGCAATTGCCACTCTCCCTACAATCGGCGACACTGTGATCTCCTTCCTCGACCAGATCAACGCCGAAGCTGCCAGGACGGATGACAAATACGCCTTCTTCCGCGAAGACCACGAGACAGAAGACATAACAGACAGCAAACTCGGCATCGCAGCCGTGGAGCAAGAGCTCTCTGAACATCGCTCTGTGGCTGCCCAAGTCCTCAAGAAGAATAAGCCCGTGACATATGTCACCGTGGCTGGGATAGAATACCTCGTCGAGGTCCTCCCTTCCGACCTCAAGCACGTCCCAGCCAGCTGGACGAAAGTCTCCGGCACGAAGAAACTCTCAAGATTCCACACTCCCGAAGTCGTCAAGATGCTCCGCGAGCGAGACCAACACAAGGAGTCTCTCTCCGCCGCCTGCGACACCGCATTCAAATCCTACCTTTCCGCGCTCTCAACCTACTATGCACCCCTCCGCGACGCAATCGCCTCCCTCAGCACGCTCGACTGCCTTCTCTCCCTCTCCCTCGTGGCTCTCCTCCCCGGCTACACAAAACCCACCTTCGTCCCCACAACCGAAATCTCAGTGATCGGTGGCCGCCACCCTATGGTCGAAGCCCTGCTCCCAACCTACATCCCCAACAACACCACGCTCTCCACCGCCCCAGGCAGCACCCGCGCCCTGTTAATTACAGGCCCCAACATGGGCGGCAAGTCCTCATATGTCAGGCAGACGGCACTAATCTGCATCCTCGCACAAATCGGCTCCTTCGTGCCCGCCGACTCTGCACGCCTGGGGCTCCTGGACTCAATACACACGCGCATGGGCGCCTTCGACAGCCTGTTCACAAATCAAAGTACATTCATGGTCGAGCTTTCCGAGACAGCGGCGATACTGAAGACGGCGACAGAACGGTCATTGGTGATCCTCGATGAGCTGGGCAGAGGCACGAGCACGCACGATGGGGTGGCGATTGCGGGGAGTGTGTTGGATTGGGTTGTGCGGGAGACGAAGTGTCTTTGCTTGTTTATCACGCATTACCAGGCGCTGGCCGGGGTTGCGAGGGGGTTTGCGGAGAGGAAGGAGTTGCGGAATGTGCACATGAAGTTTACGGCGACGAGGGCTTCGGACTCGGGCAGGATTTCGGATATCGAGGACGAGGATCTGGAGATGGCAACTGATGGTGACGAAGAGATCACTTTCCTCTATGAGGTGGGCGAAGGAGTTGCTCATCGCTCATATGGGTTGAATGTCGCCCGACTTGCACATGTTCCGAAGTCTGTCATCGGGACGGCCGCTTTCAAGTCACGGGAAATGGAGCAGAGCATGAGGCAGAAGAAGGTTTTTGCATTATCAAGTATGATGGTCGATGTGCTATCTGAAAAGAGTGGCGCCGATGAGAAGCTTGAGCAGCTCATAGTCGGCATCGACGAGCTATGACTGTAATGTAGAGAGGAAAAGAAAGGAACCGTTGGTAGCAAATATTGATGCAAGTTAATACTCCCATCACCTCGTGGAAACCATCGCTGATCGTAAGATAACTCCCGTAATTTTGAGCAAAGAAGGAAAGAAAACATAGCGATGCAAAGCTAAAGCAAATAACAGATACTGAGGCGCCGTGCAGTGTGCGCCAAACGCCAAATAATAGCTCTGGCAGTGGCTGTCGAAACGAGCCCCCATGAGGGACAGTGAAGTGAGCAGTCTACATGTTATAGTTCATGCCATTTCCGAAGTCGTTTTGTTTGGTACCCATGCTCTGGCCTTGTGGGTGCTGAGGTTGAAGCATCGAGCCAACTGGCTTGAAGTCTCCCTGAAATCCTGTGCCATACATTGGAACGTTCGTCATAGTGAAGGTATGTTGGGAGAAGCCACCAAAAGACCGAGCGTACGCGTGGTTGTAGAGAGGATTAATCGACGAGGGATCGAGAAACATCTGGGGAGTGTAGCCGTGCGGTGGAGCAGATGGCGCAGACGGGGCTCGCCGAGCTTGTTGTTGGTGTGGCAGTTCAGGCTTTCCGTTTTCTTTGCCATGTGGACGGTATGAAAGTGGCTTGGGCACTGGGGTCGGGGAAATAGGAAAACGGGACGAGTTCTGGAGTTCATCGGGGTACATTGGCAAGCCATGGGTCGCATTTGGCAAGTCAAACCTGGATCAGCAATCAGCCAAGAAGCCTTGGAGGATAAAAATATATCAGACATACCGATGGTCCTCCAAGGAAGCTTCAGTGCGGGTAGGGCTAACTTCCGGGGCGTCTTGGAAAATGCTGAACCCACGTTTCTTTCCCATATCCTCGACCGTCAACCTGAATTCTTCGTCTTCCTCCGCAGTCGGAACGAAACGACCACCAAAACCTGCAGCAAGCGGATTGGGAGTAGGAGCAGGCTTGAAGAACACCGGAGGTGGGGCAAGCATTGAATGAAGTTGTTGCTTTTGTGAGCTTTGAACAGCCGCAGCCTTCTTTCCTCGTGGTGCGCGCAGACGAGGAGCGTTGACACTGACATTGGACAGGGTTGCAGCTGTCTTGCGGGTAGCCCTGCGTTTCTTCGGGCTAGGAATCTCCTGATTCTTCGGTCAGTTGCTGGTTCCATAGGATGAACAGTGGGCGAGATACCTACCGGGCTGTTTTCGGTAGACAAGGGACCAAAGATATCTCGTGATGCTCTGAAATCGCCATTTGGATGGTAGCTAATTTCAGCCGGCTCTGTGTCCCTGGCAGTGGCAAGCATCTGCTCGAGAATGGTACCATCCTTCTTCTGATTTCTCATTCTCTTCATCTCTGGAGTGGCCGAGTCGAAAAGGTCCATTCCTGGATAAATCACACCCTTCAGCTTGGCGCTATCAGTAAGCTTCGATCCGGACTTATCACCTGTTCCTTTCTCCCCATCCTCTGGCTCTGGCTTCCATGGAGTTGTAAGTCTGACACGAAGAGATTAGCCCACGAACATATTATGGCAGGAATGAAGTACTTCGGGTCAAGCGCAGCAGGAGCTGGTGTCTCTTGACGGCTGAAATTGGGAATTTGACGTCTTGCAGTCGGTGTCTCATAAACATGCGCCATAGGGCTTCGATCCCATTCACTGAGAGGACTGTTATTTGCAACTGTTGGCCAAAGGTGCATGCGAGGAATTGGTGCGCGAAATCCTTGGACTGGGGTCTCGGCAAAGGGTGTTTCTCTCATGGATTCGAAATTGGAGGGTTGGCGATTCTCTTTCTTGATCTAAGTTCCACGTGTCAGGTCTGGCTCACATAATAGAGCTGGAAAAACAATGTCAATTATTCTTACAGAGACATTGGACGACGCGTTCGAGTTCCGGCTTTTCTTTGTCTTCTTGTGCTCCTTCGCGGCCATGCGATCGGCCAACAAGACATCGATGTTGCTGCTTTGATACCAGAAATCGAAGTGATCAAGCCTGTTTCTAGCATCAACATCACTTTGGGCCTGGATCTGGAGCTTGAAACGAGCGGCCAGGTGTGACTTGGAGGAGACGTGGGTCAGGAGGTGGGAGACGTCGGAGAACTTGGGGTTTTTGTTGCACAGGATACATTGCAAGTCGATGTTGTGTTCTTGTTTCGGCATGGTGGAGGGGCCTGCCAAAAACTTCTGTTAGCTGTCACGCATGGCAAAGTTGATGGCAATGATGTGCAGAGCGACAAACTTGTATAGGGTGAGGGATCTGGCTCTGGATGATAGAGCCAAGAGTAGTATTCATCCATGGCCGTGTGACAGAAAGGAATGTGAAAAGGGGAGAGGGATGGAGAAGTGTCCCTAAAAGGACGGGAGAAGGATGGAGGTGAAGAAGCGACTAGAAAGGAAACATAGTCTGTATAGCTCTCGAGATAGCTCGAGTGGTGTATAAGGCGGCGATGGGCGGAGAAAAGCCGCCATCAGCCTCGAAGCTAGGAGCAAGCGAGGGCAAAGCAAAGGTGAGGCAACTGAGTTGAACTCTGCCCAACCCTCAACTTGAAGGCAGTGAGGAGCGATTGGCTCAGCCAAATAAGAGGAAAGGGGACGCTGGTGCAGCAAAGGATGTTCGAAGGTCCAATTTGATGATTGAAGGCAGCGAAAGAGCCCAACTTCCACTGGCGGAACTGTGGTGATGCCGGTGCAGCCATCGGCCATTGGTGTTACGTCCAATTGACATCAGGGCAACAACACAGCATTGGCTATAGTGAAGTGTGTCTGTGTGCATGCGACGCGAATGGCTGCTGAAATATTTCACTCACCCTATAGATAGGTCTTAAGGCTGCAAGTATCGATGTGGCAGATTCGACGAAAGCAAGGAGGCTTCTGTTGGGCGTTGGTTGTGGGCTAGTGACAGTCCAAGGAGGCAATTGGGGGAATGAGCAATCGTCTCAGGCCGCCCTGGTGCGACTGAGGTCGATGGCGATGCAACAACAGAGGTGGCTTCTGATTGTGAGGAAGGAAAAGAGGTGCAGGAAGGAAGGACGGATTTTGTCGAGAGTTGAAGTAGCTCTCGTCTGGTGGATCACTTCCTGGAAGAGCAGGACACGAACTCGGAAGGCGCGGTTGTGAGCGGAAGGCAGTAGCAAAACCTGATGAGACGAAACAGAAATTCGTGCAAAATAATTTAGATAAAGGTGCGTTAAAATTGGGCAGTGAAATTAATGTTTTATTGATGGTTGACGCTGATTTGGCCCATAAGAGCACCAGGAGCTGTCATTATCCCGGACTGCTTAGGCCATTGAGTGCAGCAAACCTGAAATGGAGGGGATATCTTCGTATAGTTTTCCAATGTACAAGAAGGCCTGGGACATTGTCAACCGTAGAGACAAATATATGAATGTTCCTCTAGCATCGGCTGTTGCAATGCCCCTGGAAATCCTGCCGGAACATGTGTATCAAAAGATGTATAGCAGCCAAAGTCATTACAGAACTTGGGCACTCGCTGCACCTGTGATTTTTTCTTCTCCTGCCTTGTATCCTTGAACCACGATGTTTTAGGAGCCAGGTTATTAGATGGCAGGAGGCTTGGGTGGGGGGACTATACAAAGTAAAGCTTTTTGACAGAGGAAGGACTCGATCTAGTTTTGAATTTATTCTTTATTCATGCTTCATGAATCATTATAATGCCCTGGCCCTAGCACTCGCTCGATTATCTTCTTCGGCATGCAGCTACAAGAATTGTCAGTAGAAAGAACGGAGGGAGGTGTGAAAGAGCTTTACTATGCGGCATCCACTTCCTCCAGCCCATCAAACTCGAGCAAAGCCAGACCTGCAAGCCCAAAATTCGTATGGAATACATCAACCATATCGCCCGGCCTATCCGCCAGCCCGCCACGCTCCGAATCCTATCTTAAGTCAGCTAAGCCCCACCTCCAGTCCTTCTCCCACAAACCTGGCAATTCAATATAAACTTCGACAACTTCCCCCCATCAATCCAATGCAGCCGCCCAATCATCGACAAACTACTCGCAACCCACCAACTATAACAGACGTCCTCCAACTTCTCCGGCCTCCCATTCAACCCACCGCCCTCCGTTTGCCTCTCACTCAACCACATTCCCAGCTTGTCCTTATCCACGGTATCCAGTCTCCTCGCAATAGTCAACGCTGCGCAACAAGCAAAGATCTGCCCTGAATGCGATTCTGCCCCAGGAGCAACACCATATCCGCCATCGAAGTTCGCGCACGAGATAATGTAGCCAACTGCTTTCCCCACATCCACCAAATTCATCAACTTTAGCAGCGAAAGCCCGATGAACGCACAGCAGATAAATCGTGTGTCTTCTTCTCCCCATTGGTCGCCTGCAAAAGTTCCTGTTTCCCGGTTCTGTAGGTCTGTGATATCTGTTCCGCATCAGCACATCACATCTCCCCGTGCGGATGGAACGGGCAGACATTTCCCCACAGCCATCGCCCCTCCCTCCTTGCCCCTTTTCTCTAACTCTCCAAAACCATCAACCATAGCCAGTATCTGCACCGCACTAGCCGTATACAGCAAATGTGCATCATGGCCCGGCGCAGCGCCAAAACCACCGTTATCCGCCTGACACGAAAGCACAAAATCTATCGTTTCTTTTCTCGGAAGGGCATCCGGACGGTTGAGAAGGTGGAGAGCGTTGAGACCCCAGTAGAGACCATTGAGTCGGAGGTGTTCGGTAAGCCAGTATTCGAGCTCGTCTTTGCGCTGGGAGATGTTAACTAACAGTGAAAGGACAACTGGTGGGGGAGACGAACGGTGTCCAGGCTTTGAATATATTTCACATGTGGCTCGATTGCGAGTTGGAGTTCGTCCGGGAGGGCATTTCCTCCAGCACGGCCAGGTCCTGATACGAGAGACATTTTTAAAAATTGTTGGAAGTCGAGAAGGTTTTGGGGAGGAAGATGGAGACGTCTGGTGAGGTTGCCTTCGGGATTGTCCCACAATTTCGCGAACGAATCGGAATTTTCACCAGCCTCGTCCAATTTCGAGGTTTACACAAGGTTTCAAGACACAGGAAATCCACACAAGTGTGACACTGCATAAATTAAGCCATTTTCGGAACAGAACTAAATTCCTTTTCCTGATATTTCCAATTCAATTTGCTGGTCCAGCTGCCGCAAGCAACTTATTAATGTCGGCCGCCGAAAAGCGATCTGCATCCAATCACAGTCAATCGAAAAGATCAGCCTCGTCTTACCACATTAAATGCTTACACCCTTGGCTTTCCATAAACGAAAGCTTCAATTTCCTAATTTTTCTTTCATAACTGTCAAAAATGAAGATATTGACTTCAACTCAGTCCAAAGGTACAGTTTTATTTCCAAATGTCCGTATGTATCAGCGTTGCAATCCGATTGGTAATCTCGGACTTTGAGGTTGTCAAAGGCCGACGGCTCAATTTATAATCCCAACCCGACGGTGCATCTACGCAAGCTGCGTTGATATCTCCTTCGCATCAACTCGTGTTCATGATTTGACGAATTTGTTATCTTCTCATACTTCTTGCTTTCCAATTGTTCAATTCTCACTATTTTGATCTTATTTTGCCTCAATTGCCACTCCTCTCTTCCAAGACCCCACACATCTCTCCATCAGCCATGACAACCCCAACCCCAACACAACGCAGCGCACAAGCTTGCCCCTCCCTCCGAAAGCTCTGGAAGCTCCTCAGCTCCCCCTCAAATTGCCCAAACCGACCTGTCAAGCTCCCATGCACGTCAACATCCCGCCTCACCCCCACCTCCACCGACGAGAAGACCATCCTCTACCTAGCCTACGGCTCCAACCTTTCCGCCGAAACCTTCAAAGGCAATCGAGGCATCCGGCCCCTCTCCGCCGTCAACGTCCACGTCCCATCGCTATCCCTAACTTTCGACCTCGCCGGGATCCCATACATCGAGCCCTGCTTTGCCAATACACAATACCGCACTCCCCCGCCACCCCCAGCCTCGATAAGCTCGCCCGACTATCACAAAGATCGTTGGACAAAAGGCCTCATCGGCGTGGTGTACGAAGTAACACCCGAAGACTACCGCACAATAATCGCAACAGAAGGAGGAGGAGCAAGTTACCACGATGTTATCGTGCCTTGTTACGCTCTACCCAAGGGGGGCAAAATAGTGGACGCGGCACCGAGCGGAGCACCATTTATGGCACACACCTTGCTCTCTCCGCGAGACTCTGATCCTGCATCGTATCAAAGTACAGGTAATGGGGGAAGAGTGGATGGAAAGGGTGGGATCACCAGGCCGGATCCAAGCTACGCACAGCCTTCAGCACGATACCTGAAGCTCATCACCGATGGCGGGGAAGAGCACTCTCTTCCTGCGGAATACATGGCTTATCTGTACATTATCCGTCCGTACACAATCACCACAAGAAAGCAGAAGGTGGGAAAAGCGCTGTTTTTGGCGATTTGGATGCCGATTGTGATGGCTGTTATGGGGTTGAGTAAGCTGTTTGCGGATGAGGAGGGAAGGGTCCCTGCCTGGTTGGGGGGCGTTATGACGCTGGTGTTTAGAGGGGTGTGGGGGAGCTATGATGTGGTGTTTAAGCGGGTTTTTGGGGATGGGGAGAGGACGATTTATGATGATGAGGACGGTGGTGGTGGAGAGGAGGAGAAGGGGACTAGGTGGGGTTTTGGTGGATGTGTGAGGTTGGAAAGTAATGATGAGAAGAAGATGGGGAGATGAATATGAGTATGTGTTCGATGTGTAATGATTTTAGGTTGGGACTTCTGGTTTCTCGGCGTTGGCCAGATTTTGGTGGAATGGGGATGACACCTTTGAGCGTGATATTGGATACATATGCAAGCAGCACTTTCAATAATCTTGTCATTTGCACATCACCCCTCCAAGTCATCCCTATCAAATGTGGGGCACGCCAGACAGTCTTTCGTGGGCTTAGTTTCGTATAGGGAGGCTTGACTTCTCTTCTGAGTGGGTCCCTTTTCACTTACTTTTCAGGTGAAGATGGCCGCTCGTAATTCATCTCGACTTGAGGCCAACTATTTGTTATTCATCGATGGTGCTGTCAAATAAGATGAATATCATTTCAGTTCGAAGGCCGACCCATTGAAACCTTTTGTAGCTTTTTTTTGCTTATCGCACGGCTACTCGTACCATAATAATGTTTCTAGGGGATACTTACGGCCAGTTCCAGAGAAGGAGGTCGATACACATGATCTCGGCAATATCAGGGATCGAAGGTGCATTACAATCTTAATCTCTGTCTTTTATGACCTCAGTGTAGAATTGATAATTCCGGTTTAAAAACATGGTGAGTGAACCCGAGTGCTAAGGGCATCTTGAGGTCACGTCGTTAGTCCTCGATGTATAGTAATCATCTGCCCACCATTGTGGGCCCTATTACCCTCGTCTTAAGTTGAGGGGGTAAGCACTAGTCTTCCTATCGGCCGACCTATCTATCACCACACTGCACCAATGCCACCAACATCTTCCATAATCATGAGAACAAAGCTTGTTTCGAACCTCAATCCACATTTGTTGCATATCGCACTTCTTTGCTGTGCCACATAACCCGTGATTGACGCCGTTGTAGGCGGGGAGAGGCACAGTCCAATGATATTTTGGGGCGGGCATATTCTCCGATGGGAGCGGGTGCTGAATAACGAGGACACCTGAAGTATGCTTGGAAATATATGTCCAAAATGGGACAACGTGAGTTTGTATATAAAATAAAGTGGCGGAAAAGAAGACATCAAGGGTCTGACTTCTGTGTTACTGTTAAAGGGAAGCCAAGGGAAAACACTTCTTCCCAGCTTCTCCCTAATCGGGTTAAAAACCATTGCGTGATCATATACTCATCTTCGCTTGATCTCTAGGAACTTTTGTGGCACATCGTAATCACGTCCGAATCACGCTAGGGCACGAATGCTTCCGTCCGAAGTCCAAGTAACGCCCAGATCGCGAGATGAAGGGTGAATATCTTATAACTGAGCGCGATCTTCAATGCCAAAGAAAGAGGGGGAAATCTCTTTGTTGCATATCGTAATCGCGTCTGACGCGGTTCACGTTGTTGGTTCTTATCTAGAGCAGGAGATGTACGCGTCGGGTCAGATGGAAGTTAGTTTCTGTTTCTGAATACAGAGACTATTGTTTGACGTCGGCAGAAAGGAGTGTGATATGCAACTGGTCTATAAGGCCAAGATACACACACTCTTGATATCAGAACTCATGGGAAAAGCTTATGATTAAGAATCGTTTTAGGACAGTAGGAGGAGAAGCATAGAAGGCTCACTCCTCCACAGATACTCCTCCCTATCGAAAACTCGTCAAGGCCGAATCTCATTGCTCCGAGAGACCTCTATTCATCGAGGTGACGTGTAATGGTATTTCAAAGTCAGCATTCAGTCTTTATATGCGGGTCTAATGGACTTGAATCTTACGATAGAAATACTTCTGTGCGAGAAACAGAGACCTCTCCCGATTAAAAGGACTTGAACCTCCCAAAGGAGCCACTGCTATTTGAGACACTGAGTTCGATTGAAACACACCTTTGAAGCGTTAACTCATTCACCTCCTATCTGTTTGAAGAGATTAGATAGCCTCCTCGGGTCACTCGGCCGAGGAGCTTGGGATAAGAATGATATTGCAATCAACTTGGCGACGATAACGAACCTCAAAATATTGCACTGGAGTGCGATATACAACAAAATTTTGTTGTTGGCTCTCTATGCCGCTAAGCTGAGAGTGAGGTCTCGGCCGAAGGGTACTGTAGTTGGAGGAGTGAGGGCATCACATCGCACCGCATTGAAGATACTGGCTTCATACTATCGCCGCTGAGAAAGATGCTCAGGGCTTGGCAGGACATCGAATATCACGACGGGGATGTAAGTTTCTGAACCAAGAGAATGTGGAATGAGCAGGCAGTGACAAAGTCACGTGACTTGTCGCATTTTCCCCCTGTGTATATCCAGCATAAGGACTTCCCAGGGTTTCAAGCACTGTAATGATTTAAATGCGTATTAAGGCGCGCAACCGCCTCAATCGAAAGCAAAAGTGCGAGAAAGACTTGATTTCAATACGTCGCATGAAAATCTCAACATGACTCGAACAACAACACTTCTCAGCCTGCACCTGACATCACTCTCATCCATCCCTTCAACCCCGGATTCTCAAAGGTCTCACTTGCAATAATCACGATGCAATGACACTCATCAGGCATTGAAATAATACAGGCAGCTCCAGCGCCCCGGTTTACTTCGCGCTCTGCTCACTACGACTTCCTCTCAACTATGGGTACCGACACGACTCTCGCGGCAGCAGCACTGGCAATCGCCCTCGTCGCACTATGTACAACGATAGGTCAATTGCTTCAGCAATACTTCGCAACCGCAGATGGTTACCGTCGATGCCAGAAGTCCGTCATGGGGGAGTATGCACGCAAAACGCGGTTACAGTGGAGATGGCGAGAGTTTCGTTTCGAGACGCTCTACACCACACCCGAGATCTTCCTTGTGGGACAAGGGGTGCCGAACAGAGTTGGTCAAGTTCTGCTCACCGGGAGTCAGAAATCGAGAGAGAAGTCCTTGGTTCCTTTATCGTCAGTGGAAAATGGGGATGCGGTGATGCTGACGCCGACGAATTTGCATGGTATGAAGCGGCAGCGGAATATGGAGTCGCAGCTTCAGGGAATGCAGCCAAGACCTTCGAGGATAAAAGGGGGAACTTATACGGGGGAGATGGCTTGCTGGGTGCCGTTGCTGCATTGGATTCATGAGAAAACGGGTGTTTCGTTGGACGATCGCCCTTCGATTACATTGCAGTGGACAGATCCCATGCTCATGCCTCCTCTCAATCTGAGGCTACCTGGAATTATCTTCCGCGAGCGGTCTTGGGATTTTCAACCTCCAGATGTGGTTCGACCTCTGGCAAAGACAACCCTCTCCGATATTGCAGTGATCGCACGACGGATGGGGATGAAATGGAAAGACTTCCGGCCGTCTGATGGAATTCTCAGAGCCGAAGGCCACTCTCAGACCATCACTTCTACAATGGTGAGATCTCTTGGACTTGTGCTTCAATATTCATACACCGGTCAAAATCAACGACTTGCTATGGCTGAACACAACCTGAGGAAGCGGCTGGTCACAGGATCTATTTTCACTGAACAAGAGGAGGTTTACATCCCCAGTGCTGAAGCAGATCGTCTGGGCTGCGGAGTTCTGAGGACTGATCGGAAACTTGGCCTACCCGATGTTACAGTCTCCACCCAAGCAGAGATCATAACAGCATTAGGATATCTGGATCGAAGTGGTACATCGGCAGCTGCTCTGACCAAGATACTTCGAGAGAATCCTGAGTACCGCTTTCGAGTCGCCGATATTGTTGCACTCACGACCCAGCCAGCTCGACTTCCTAGCTCTCATCTGGTTCAAGTTCCTGCTCCAAGCGATAACATGGAAGGAGTCACAAGAAGTTCTGTTGGTCGACGAGCTTTCCGGCAATGTCTCGAAGAATATATCGTCGTTCATAAAGACGATGTTGGCCATTATACCCAACAAGCCCTGGACATTTGTCACGAGATCGGCACCAAGTACGCAGCATGGGATCACACGGACGATTCAGCACTCAAGACGAGCAATGGATCGTTACACGAGATCCGCAATACCTTGATGTTGTCCAAGAAAGGCTTGATTCTCTTACCAAAGTTCTGAATCAGTGGGAACAGGCACATTCCTTCCGTTACCACCACCTTCTCGGCATCCATATCAGGATCGCGATGTCTGCTGATGGTGGGGGGACACCCATGCAGCAGAATCTGGGAACGGATTACAAAGCCGATGTAGATGGGTATTTCAGACAATTACCTAAGATTGTGGAGGAGATGAAGAAAGCCGGGTCCCATAATCAGCAGATGATCGTCGATGCATGGGTTTCGATGATGCTGAGGGCGATGTGTTGGGGTGCTTGCTATTTCTTTGTTCCTGGGGAAAGGGTTCCGATTCAGTATTTTGGGAGCCAGTTGCCGGTGTACATTGGATGAAAAACAACAATGCACGTTTGTCTCGAAGGCTGGCATGTCTTGGATTTCGATTTCCTGGATCTGGAACATTTATCGGTTTTACTGTCTTCTCAAAGAGCCATGAGAAAGTATAACTTGTAAGATTGACCGGCCTGCTGAACAAATTTCATCTACAGACAACTCGACATCGAAGTATAGATTCCATTAGCATATTCAAAATAAGTCTATGCCTCCAACATGCCAGCCTCTTCAGCTCTTGGATCCATCTCAATATCTTCGGAGAACACCTCCAGATCCAACAAGTCAGCCTCTCCAGCTCTTGAAGCAGCACTTTCGATCAGAAGCAAGCCGTGCAACGCCGAACGTACTTCCACAGAACATTCTTCTGACTCTACGTCACAACTATCCTCCCACACTTCGAGTACCGAAGAGCGGACCTTACAGGAGCAGATTGCTATACTCAGCAAAAAGGTCCGCAGATGCTCAGGAATGATCAAAACTCAAGGAAACCTACTTGCTGCCGGTGTCGTCTCCCGCCTCGAGAATGATCGACTGGGGGCAGAGAAGCGGAAGCTGAAGAAAGACATGGATAAGCTCATGAAGGAGAACATCAAGTTTCAACAAAGATTCAGGAAAAAGAAAAAGTCAACGCAGCTCTTTTGAATCTTATCCCTGACGAAAAGTGCGAGTTGAGGATCATCCACGATATCAGGAGAGAAAATCCGGCACTCCAAAAGGAGTGGGAAAAGTTTAGAGCCAAGCGGGAGAAGCGGACGGCTGAGGAAAAGCGAATACTTCAAGCCAAGACTGATGCATGGCACCGCCAATACTACCCTGAATGTTACGGTCCACCTCCTTCGAATCTCTTTGCTGCTCCAACTGTTAGCGCATGCCCTGAGATTAGAAATTTAGGAGGAATTTTGGTACAGTACACATGTTTTGCTTAGCTCTTGCTTTCTTTGTTTTCTTAAGTTTCTACTTCTCGTTCTGGTATCTGGATTTCTGGGTGTATCTAGACTGTGAACTTGGGCAGGACGCCTGATTGGATTGTCTTTGCCTAACTTGTGCTTTACCTCCTTTCTATTCCTTATCCAACATCTATCCATCCTTTTCGATCAGCTATTGTGGCAATTCGTGGGTTGTAGTCTTACCACGGTTTACCCCGAGATCTCCCAAAGCTAGTGATCTCTTCCACCACATCCTCTTCCGCCATTTATCAGATCTTCAACATCTCCCTTCGCCTACGCCGTAACCCTGTTCCTCTGCTACAGATATACATCGGCACGATACCCGTCATATTCACTCCCAGAAACAGAAGCAGCTGCTTCCACCACTTCAAGAGTGTGTTCTACCAACTGGACAGCTCGGTGGGGTACTCGCGAGGGTTGTTGCTGTTGTTGTTATTGTTGAAGGAGCCATCGTTGTATTTGAACGCTTGGATAGCATCAGCACCACCGATGCGCCGGTAGTCAGGCTCGGCAACGATTGCTGAGCAATCGATTAGTAATCGATTGTGTGCACTATTGATTAGCTATCGATTGTAATCGATTGGTAATCGATTACTAAACGATTATTACCCCGCACCCCACGAAAGCTAAGCACTAAATTTTTAGTACCTATAGCCTATAATTTAGCGATCGTAGCCCTAAAATTTAGCGATAAGCAGCCTATAATTATAGGGCTCCCTTTTCCTCGCGACCACAAGCCTCGAAGCTCACTTCTCACTTTCTCTCTCCACTTATTGCTTTTTACTTTTATATACTCGCCCTCTTAACCCCTCCCCCATTAAAAGTTGCCAAGCTTATGGGCCCAAGGCAGCCAGCGTATGGGAGGGCTAGTGGGAGACTAGTGGATTTGTACTATATTAAGGGGCCTTTCCCTGCCTTTAATAATGAGAACCAAGGCTTTTAACTACTTAAATTTAATATCCCCTAATTCCCCCTTTTACTTTTATACTTTTATATATATAGAGAGAGAGAAGAATTAAAGAGAGTGTAAATACTGAGAGAAAAGGAAGGAGGGGCAGTAATATGTGAGTGCGGCCGATTTTTGGTAGGGTAAATCGTAACAGACCCCCTTACTAGTATAGACTATGTCTTACCGGATACAGGAATAGCTATTAATATCATCTCAATAGTACTAATGAGCGATAGGCCAGAGGGAGTCTTTTCAGGGGCTTATCGTACGGTAAGCTACCTAGAATAGGGGGCAGCTTGAAGCCAGACAAGATGCAGGAGTACCTTAAGTACTAGAAAAGGAGCAGAGTTCTAGATACTTTCTTTAAATAAGTAAATAAGAGAGAGCCTTACCTTTATTATATATAGTATAGTACTCTACTAAACTTCTGGATCTTCTGGCATTAGAAAAGGGGTAAAATCATACGTATGTAGGGATTAGCTCGCTAAACAATCGATTGCACTATCGATACAATCGATACCTTACGATTGTGGCATCGATTGTTATCGATAGTGCAAAACGCCAATCGTTGCCGAGCCTGCCGGTAGTATTTCTACGAGTTCATTTGTAGTTGGCTCGGACGGTGGCGCAATAGGGGCCGCAAAGACGAGAACGTTGGAGACAATGGACGGGATGCTGGAGGACCTCGCCTCCGTGTTGGGGGGTGATGAGTTTGCGAAGTGAGAGCGAGTGAAATCTTGAGGCCGGTTTCTTGTTCGTTACTGATAGGGGATTATGAAAGCTAGGTCCGTGGGCTCGAGGATATGGCTTCCCAGGTGAATCGCGGTGACGGAGCAATGTCGAGGGGATTTTAGATGACAAGTAAGGTTTCTAGTTCGATGTGGGCGTGCCTCGACTCTCAAGTGAGTCTCCTCCATTTTTCGTTGTGCTTCTTCACAAACGTTGCGTGGGCATACCGGCAGAGTTCAGCTCTCTCTCATTACTATATCAAGGATCCAACGAGGCTCGTGTAGCCTTTCTTTAAGCCGGTCAGATATATCCCCGACCCCTCAGATTTATATCTCTCACTCATTATTGCCAGTCGCGACCCCCCAGAAATATGCTACCCAACTTCCAAGGACTAAGCACATCAACGCCCCAAAGCAAATCTTACTCAGCCTCTTCATCTCCCTTCCCTTCTCGCCGTAACCTTCCTCTCCACCGCCAACGATAAGCTTCCTCTCATTCATCAAGTCTCCTTTAATCAATCTCTGTTTTCTTGTCCATTGCAAGCGGCCAATATCGACATAGATCGAGCTTATCTTACCCGTCGATGTCTTAGAGAGTAGGAAGAGCGTGAGCATCGCGAGGGATACGATAAAAGAGAGGACGGAGAGCACAACGTAGACAGGCGTGACTTTCTTATAAGGGTCTGATTCTGGCGAGGAGTCTTGGAGAACTCCAGTTAGGATGCGCACTATGATGTTCATCCTATCTTACGTGTAAGTCAGGGGGTGGAGGTGGGGTAGAGGGACAAGCGCATTGTTCATGGTTATCTTGCATGCGTATGCAGAGCCGAAGACTGATGAGTGCCATAATGAGGTGCGGATGCTGTCTATGATTGTTGTAGGGCCGAAGGAATATGCCACAGCCTGGATTTATTTCCATTTAGTGGGGATATTAGTTTAGAGGCAGTGGATACATACGTATATTCCAAAAGCAGCTGCTGTTCCTCTCGTGGTTGTCGCCCAGTTCACGAGGCACATGGAAAGGAAGACTCCAGCTCCGCAAAGCACCACTGCAAGAATTCTTGGTCAGTTTGGTCCCTCCTCTCAATTGAATCATAATACTGACTGAGAGTAATGCGATTGCCAAGCAGATCAATGAAAATCCCAACACAAGGTACGACAAAGAACCCTGTTGTTCCATTAGCATACTTTCTCCTCACCAAGACATCCACCTACCAGCATATTGCAACACACTAGTATACCACCCGGCCGTCACCGCATCCGTGCCAAACCGCAACTGCGCCAACTCGGTTGCATTCTGCTGAAACACAATCGCGGTACTCGTCTCAAACAGACTGAACCCCATCACACCCCAAAACACCCACGGCAACTCCAACACTTTCCCCAATTCAAACTTCTTGTTCTTTTCAGTTAGCTCTTCGCCAGTGGCGGGATCGGGAGTGCTCTTGAAGGTGCGCTTGCAGTAGCGAGTGAAGAAGTAGAAGATTACTGTCATGAAATTCGTGAAGAGGTTCATGAAGACCGCTGTCCAGAAGACCCAGGAGAAGTCTCCGGTTTTCTTGGCGATGATGTTTGCTGTTGATTTGCCGACGAAACCGCCGATCTAGGGCACGTCAGCTCATCAATTCAATCCGTGTATGATTTGAGGGAACATTACCTTCCCAATTCCCAACTCAAGCCCAAGAGTAGCAGCAAACCCATGACTGGGAGGAAACCAACTAGAAAAGATCTTATACCTTCGGCAAATCAGCAACATATTTCTTGGGAAAGTGGAGCTGGGAGAACGGAACATCTCCTCGACCGGACCAGTGAGGTAGGGAGTTCGGGGCATAGGAAAAAGAGATAGGTTGGTTACTGTGCGATTTGAGTGGCGATATCTCCAAGTGCGAGCACAACTCGGCCGAAGATCATGAATTTGTACGAGCGGACTGTTGTTGCGGCCGCGACGAGAATGGAACCAACTGTATAGATGACGTTTCCGTAGAGTATTGCGCTTGCGCCGCCGATTCGGTCTGTTACCACGCCGCTGAGAAGCACGAGTGCTGTGACCATGAAGTCCTCGCTGGCTTCGAGGAGGGCGAATTGTGTGTTATTGATATTGAGGCCCTGTAAGATTTAGTTCTGGTTGATCAAAGGTGGTTGGGAGAAGGCATGGAAATACCTTCTTGAGTGTTGTCTTCATCGCCCCTGTTATGCCGCCGCTCCATGAGGAGCCGAATCCAATTGCTGAGACGAGCAGAATAGAGGCAAGTTTGAAAGATAGAGGGACTGTGACCAGTGTCGAGTTCTCGTTTGTTGACCCATCTGCTGGAATCGAGGACACTTCAACCCCAGAATTTCCTTTGTGCCCTTGGCTTTCAGCAGACATCTCGTTTGAGCTCCTCTCGGAAGAAACATTGTGCTTATCCATTGTACAGATGGATACTAGAACAATTTTCTCCAAAAAAAGGGTTACCTATTGCAGGAAAGACACCAAATGAACAACGGCTTGTGTCGAGGCTCTCCGGGGAACCGTCGCTTTAATAAGTCACGCATTTACTTACTCTCAGATCGACCCGGCGGTGCAACAAATGCGACATCGGATTCCAGCGAATGCCTCGCAGCACACTTATGCCTTTTAGGTTGTCCTCCGGTGAGACATCTATACGACGGTGAGCACGAGTGGATGTCGTGACATCGCCAATCGCTTTAGACTGGGACAACATCTTATCAGATGGATCTGATAAGATCCGATGCGGAGCTTGGCATCTGATTAGGAGGTGTTCATTGCCAGTAGGGCCCACTTTCAGGGGGTGAAGCGAGAAAATTTGAGAGAACGGGTGGAGAAAACCTGTGTTTAAAGCTTGGCAAAAGGGGGTTGAAAGTGGGGGGTGTTCGTGGAAGAGATGGGCTCATTGGTACGTGGAGTACGTTGGGTGCAAGTGAAGTCACAAAGACGAGACGAAAATCTTTTATGTTCTGACTCGAACGAGTTCATCTACATGTTCCCAAGTTTGGGAGTGTAACATGCAAAATTCGCTCCCCACTTGAGACCTATTGACTCTTGGTCTCAGAATTCAAAAGAACTCCACTGCTGATGGTTGTTTGCTGACGAACCCCGAACTTTTTATCAGGTTCTCAATTCGCCTGCTTTAAGTCAGTAGTACAGCCAAGCCCTGTTTTCACTTCCACGCATCAGAACAAACTTACAAATGCCGTCGCATCATGCCCGCACAACCTCGCCTGCCAATTTCCACTATCAATGGCAGGGAGTTCATTAGTATGAAATCCATCCCAAGGCGTCACACCATTACAAGCATTGAAAGCTTTGAACTTCTTGTCTCGCGCCTCTTGCTTTGGTCCGTCAGGAACAGTCTCTCTTTTGGATTGTATGAAACTCCGTTCTTGAACCAACTTGTATCTCGGCTCTCGAATTTCTTGAAATGCTTTCAGGACCTTTGGGATACCGTCCGTTGTTTCAACTCGCTCAAGACACTCTACTAGAGTCGCCGCGTCTTCTATAGCTATGCCACCTTCCTACTTTCGTGAGTATCTTACCACAAGCTTCAAGTGGGGGAGAATACTTGTCCCACCCATGGCAGAACGGCATGAAGTGCATCACCGAGAAGTACCACCCCCCTACTCTTACACACCTACGGCGCTGGCATCGATTCCACCATCCTCCAAACTTGTGATTTTTCCACATACTACAACACCTTCTGGATAACGGGAGAATAGTCCTTGAGGTATTCTCTGAGCTTCTCGATGTTTTGCGGTTTGCTCACTCCCGTCTCCATCAGCAGGACTTTCATCTCTGCCATGTGTAAGTTCATTCCTCTACATTGAATAACATCTCTTCGTCGTTCCTTCTATCAAATGGCTTGTTTCGCAGGCTTAGCAATGATAACTAATTTCCGGTATTGATCCGTATTGATACCAGAATCGTAGAAGAATCCACTAGCCGACCGCCCCAAAAAATTTTTGACTGCCATTTAAATAATGATTATTTAACTACCACAACTCAATTTACTACCAAATAAATTGTTTTCTGAATCTTTTACTACCTGCCGAGATGCTTGTCAAGAAAAATCACTATTCTGAATGCGAGGGCGATCCCGACGAGCTCCTTAAAGCAATAAGGCTTCAAATAGCCTATCCGTTCCGCTGCCACCAGGTGCGCCCCCCCTATACGATTTTCTCTCAACTTCAAACTTAAATAAATCTTCACGTAATAATATAAGACTTAGGTCCTCTTATTAAACAATAAATAGCCTTTCAGTTAGCTCTTATACAAATTTTTATATTGTTTTTATAAAGTATCTATAAATTGAAATGCATTAGAAGAGTCAGGGTTTTAATGTTTCGTATATTTAAGCGGAGGGCGTAGCTGGTGGCAGCGGAACGGATAACTATTATCTCGACTAAAACAAGAAGAAATTAATACACCAAGTTACTACGGAATATAAAGTTTATTAGGAAATACTTCGAGATCAAATTAAGGGAGTAGTACTAAAGGCAAAGGTTATAATAATATAATAGCGACTATTACTAAGGGAAAAAGCAGTAATCTAATAATATATTCTGAAATTAGAAGTATAAGAATAGCCGCTAATAGTTTGTGAGTTATATATATATACGAGTATAATAATAATTTATAAGAAAGGGTCCTCGATTTTAGTAAGGTGGTATATATAAAGCGGGGTGCTACTATTTCTAACAATTTTTAGTGGGTGCGGCGCAGCGCATACTAAAAAATAAAAATAAACACTACCTTACGAGCGATTCTAGCCGCACTATAAGGTTAAAACATATATATATATATATAGCCGTCAGGATATCGAAAATACTATAAAGTATTAATTTGTAATAGGATTTGTAATTATAATGAAGGTATAATTAAAAATCGAATGTTTTGGGGTAGGCGGTTGGGGGGTATGGGCTTTTATGCCCCAGAACTCCACTGACTTTGGGCCTCAGGCTCGTTAGCGTGGCAGTATTACTTCACCTCAGCCAGCCCACGACGATCAACCACGCATACCGGTGGTTACAGGAGGACTGTGATTACACGGACAGGTTTAGCAAGCCCTCCAGGTGTCAATACTAGTCGAAGTTCCTTTGGACATTAAAGTCGTGTTCTAAAGAAAGAAATTTGTTGCCAGCACGGCGCTCTTCTTATGCTGAAATCCGCACAGTTCGAAAAGACGCCGGCCGAGCCGTTCCGTCCCGCCAAGTTGGGTCGCCATACCTCGAATAGAGTCGTGTGCCGCTGTACATTTTTGGAGGGAGGTGCAAGGTCACCTTCCATTTACGTTGAATCTTATTCGTTGCTTTTGGTTTTTTTCTGTCTACCTCGCCCTGATCTGGTCTGGCGCTGGCACGCCTACCTTTGCCAACGAATCACAGTTTTGTTGTATCATTCCATCCACAATCATGACGAATTCCAGGTTGTGGGGTCCTGAAGGGTATTATGGAGTGGAGAAGTCTTCAATGAGGTTCTAATGTACAGTACAAAATGCGGGTGATGTGCCCCTGCGAGCTTGCCAATGACTGCATAGTAGAGATGTTTCCTCAGCATTCCAAACGCCTGCCTCTTTCATAACCCCTTGCTCATATCGTACAATTGGATCGTCCACCATTAAGAATCGATTCTCTCATCTTTTTTTTCGTTCGTCCGTCTGTCTGGAATATGTTAGTTACCTGCTCTGGCTAGTTGTAGCACACTTGGCGGACTTTAAGAAGAAGTATGCAGAACTACTGTCCGTTTCCTAAGTCGAGTTAGTATTGGGATGGGAAAGCAGGAGCTGCATGATGGTACCTGGATCGCCGGGCTGTGGGCGGGGCGGGGTGCCCCCTTCGCCCCCTTTTGAGCTTCCCGCCCCTCCATTCTCCCCCTGTCTATTGACAAGCGTCTGTGGCTGTGAAGCCCCACACTTCTGAATAGATAGATGGAAAGGCATAATTGAAGTGTTCGAAGTTCCTCGCGATGCATATTTGATGTGCATTATTGCTTCTGAAATTAAGCATGTGTTTGAACTTTGAATGTTGGAAGGCATTGTTGCCACGCACTGGATGCAAACTCTCTTATAGTGTTCTGTCATTGTAACATCCTCTCTGCGATGCTTCGCGCGTGAATTCATGACAACCGCTTCGAAGTTCCTCGCAGCAGAGAAGAACTCGATTACGGGTCTGGTTTAGGACACAAATTCACCAAAAGAGTGGTGACACAGAATGGCCAGAAGCGAAAGCTCGCGACGCGAGAGTGAAGTTGCTTCTAGATCCATGCTGCCAAAATCACACAACAGAAGACAGGCATATCGAGTCGAATGTAATTGTACAAGGATGCATTGTTTGATTGTTGATATCTGTACCGGTACTCAATGTGTATTGGAAAAGAGACTCTCGTCTGTTTATCTAGCACAAGCCTGTCCATTCACCAATGCGAGTATGGAAGCCCGATTGTCACGGGCTCCGGGATTTCTCGGTGGCAGAATACGTCACCGACTTGAAAATATGTTTGCTTCAATGTGGAAAGTGCGAGACATCGGCGTGGTGTCGCGAGTGCTCGCGCGAAGGTGCGCCCCTCTCGCCCCTTCTCTTACTACCCCTGCACATCTTGACATGGAGTGCCGCGAAGTCTCGCGGAAAGCCTGACAACGCCAACTTTGGTGACAAGACCAGAGATAACCCCCCATAACTTTGGGCCGAAATCTTCAGCAGAGTCTTTCAACATTTTGAGGTCACCGGGTTTTCTTAAAGACACTATCTGTAGAAGCGTCCTTGTGGGTTTGTCACGAGTGAGCCCTTTACTAATTTTTTACCGCTCTAAAATCGGGATCCGTGTTGAAGACCGTGGCCATCATAGGGCTGGCCAGATGGCAAGAATGATCGCACATGGAGCTATTCCAGCAACGACACAAATCGGTAAGTCCTTAAAGTTACCTCCTTCATGCTTAATGGCAAGCCAGCGCCACTCTGTGTATATTTTTTAATACAAGAAGAGTAGACTAAAATAAAATTTTCAGGGAAGATAGCCGAATGCAGCTCTGGTCTTCTCCAGAATGGTTGCATGCAGGCATATTGCAATACAGCATACCCACATGCTATACTAGCCTCGACGATCGACAGTTCTCCAGAACTAGTTGTTCGTCTTCTGCAGTTCCAAATTTGGAGTTATGTTTTCCTGAGGGAATTCAAGCATCATGCCCGGGTTGCCGGGCTCACCGAGCGCTGCATAAGATGCTCGCAAAAGTGGCGGCAGCAACACACTCACAACTCAAGCTATTCATCGACGATGGCGAGTGACAGCAAATTTACGCCACGTCCTTTGGTTTCTAGCTTCGACTCCACTGTGCGGTTGAAGAAATTTAATGACGATGGTCGCGAAGATGACCAGGACCAAAATTCTCCAGATGGTGATAAGGACCCAACAACTGCCACGCCTAGGCCACTGGATACCCTTCGTTTTGCGTGCCACTTCCACAAATATTCGCCGTCAAGGTATTGTGCAGCAGGATGCAGAAACAAGACATGTGAGCATCCTGGGTGGGAGAATATTGCTGGTGTGAAGTAAGTCTTGACCAATTTCACATGCAAACTAAGTTGACCTTGCAAAGGCAACATCTCCAACGGCAGCATATTGCTTCAGTGGATTCCCTCGCCTGCAGTCGCACAAACGGGCGAAACCAATGTGACTTGCATCCGGAAAATGGCCAACCCCTCAGTCGTACCGAACCAGAACAATGTGAGAGTATCGATCAGGCACAATGGCAATTGATATGTCGCCTTGTGATACCAGACAGATGCCGTGACGAAAATATTTGGTTTGAAATATGGGCAATTCTCTTTCCTGGGACCCAGGCCCCAGCACATCCGTGTAAGAGCAAGATTCAGCCCTAAAAGCCCCAAGTTGGACATTAACATCTTCACAGGGCATGAGACCAGAATGCAAACGATTTCGAAACCCTCCAAAATGTCAACAGATTCAACAGAGTCATTTCTAACTAGTTCTGGGACAACACACGACCATAGGGCGCAGACCAGGCCTGATTCAGATCACAGCGCTCTCGTCGAGACAATAACAGAACCCAACACACCCTCTCTTCTATCTGGAGGCTCCCAAATACATTCAATTACGACGATATTATCCTCTGCTTCATGTGAAAAGTCTGAAAATACGTTTCTGGACAGTACAACCGGAATTTTGGTTGCTTCTCCCCCTTTGGGGACGAATTGCTACCGAGCTACTATTCCCCAATATAAATCTCCATCTGCACGTGAATTGGGAGATTCCCCAGGTGATTGGTCTCAGTTTATTGCAAATCCGTCTTGGGATGATAGCCAAATGTACGCTTTTCTTCTTTTTTTCTCTTTAGATTCGTGGATTATTGTAGCTGACAAAATTTAGTTTGAAGAGTATCGTGAATGATTTGAATCATGACCCGACTCATTTTGTGAGAAACCTTGCCTCCGAATATTCAACGGTGTCAGCGACTTCGCCGGATCGGGGTCTTGAAATTGATGACAACTTACTGGACTCCCCTCAATACCTGGAAAACAGAACTGTCTTTGATCCATTTCCGGAACGCAAAATAGCCCTGTGCACGGCTTGGAACCACTCCGTTGATGCGAATCGTCTTGTAGAAGCTAACGAGAAAGAGAGCATTTCTGAGCAGAACATCGAGCCTAAATACAATGATAAGCAAAATATGCACTCCGAAGATTTAGATTATATGGATCCGATTTCCAACACAGATTTATGGACTCAGAGCGATTCCAATGGCTTTGAATCTTTTGAGTACTGGGTATTACAAGATGCTCTAGCATCTGAACCTGATCTCTTCGCTCGATCACTCTCTTTATTTCAAGCAGAGTGGCAACGCAAGAATATACCTCGTTCTCCCGGGGTGGTTAGTTATGCCACCACAGGAGATTCTGCCTCAGAAACTGGTGCTATCTTATCTGAAGCGAATGAAGGCAGGCAAAAAGAAACAGGAAGGCACCCTAGAAAGCATAATATACCGAGGAGAGACCCTGATGAAGGTGATGAAACTGACGACGAGCCAAGACGAAAACGGCAGAAGCAAACTCGGGACTCAAACAAGGCATATAATGGCCCAAGGTTTGCTTGTCCTTTCTATAAGAAGGATCCGTCCAAGTACTGTCCCAGCGCAACAGCAGGAGGAAACTACTCGGGTGACAAGTTTGCACATTGTCATAAATACGGAAGTATAGAATTGCACCACCTTGTTAGGTAAAGCCACTAATGGATTTTGCTTTTTCATGTTTTAGTTCGCTGATTGCGATTACAGTGACCATTTAAAGAAGCACAAGATTTTCGATTGCGCAAAATGCTGTGAAGAATTCGATGGCGCTGAAGCCGCTTTGAATCACGCCGATGTATGCCCTCGTGCTGGACAGCCGCCGGCCCGAGCGCCTCGTAGAGATGGTATCGACAAAACACGACTGAATGCGATCAAGACAATAATGAGTAACCGAGGAAAGAAAGATCAAGAAAAATGGATGCAAATCTTCAATGTGTTATTTCCATCCACACCCCAACCACCGAGCCCTTGTAAGTAGTCCTGTTCATGCTCTGCCAATTTACACTGACTTTAATGATGAAGATTGTGAACCCATCGCTGTTCCATTAACCTCGCCCGCTGCGGAATCCTTGATACGGACCTGGGAGATGTTGGTCCAGACCGAGTGTAGAGATGGTAAAATGTCCATAGAGAAAGAGACATTCGATAATTGTGTGCGCCTTCTCAGGCATGCTTTACAGATAGAAAGCACAAGAGCAGACCCGAGCATTTTTACAGCAATTCCCACACCAAGCTCTGGCAGTATGGTTGCAAGCACCCCATTGTTTGCAAATGAAAGATCTAGTCAAGCTGGCACGCCATTCCTTTCCAACCGAAGCTTGTCGAGAGTAGGCTCAAGCACAAAAAACGTAATGTCAAACACACCAACTTCATCATCCAACTTTTCCGGCCGACAGAATGTTGGAGCACCCGAAACCCTATCGAACCGTCTTCCGAGTTTTTCATCTTCCCCATGGTTACGCGACGAGAGAGATGGCTACACAGATGGTGCTTTTCGATCGAATTGGGGTGAGGGAGCCTTATCAAACGAAGGTCTCCAGACGAGGTCCCAACCTCAAAATGTATACAATCCGCCAAGTCAAGGTTCATCAATTCTGCCCGGAGAATCCTCAGGTGGGTTTGAAAATACGACTCTACAACTACGGAATTACGAGGACTCTACTCCTATTGAAGGCAACACTTACATTCCAGAGCAATCAGGCTGGCAAAACCTATCCGCTCAGGGCCAACAGTTAGTAATGACCTCAATGCCTGCAAGATCGACAGGAAACCAAATTCAGGGGCAACCGGACATGGTGCACCAGCTGGCAAGTTACCTAGCACAGGGACAAGATCTGCTTCGAACTGTAAGACAATCTATTCCAATCGAGAGCACAGGAGCCACTTCCAGCCAGGCTCCGTCACGGGAGACCATTATGGGACCGCCAGCTATTCATGAGAGGTCATCAGCTGGGCATAGCCTTTCATCGAATAGCCCTTCCCCATGTATCAGTGGTAGTAGACCAATCTCTCCCATACACGAATTTGCGCTATCTCAACAAGCGCAAACCCAACAGCAAACCCATCCACATCAGCCAAATCCGGTCCATTCAAGCCATGTACACCGCCCGCCAGCCCTCCAACGAGAGCATCATCGCCTTGTTTCGTCGCAACCCATTCTATCAACACCCTATCATACCATCGAGAGCGATATCTACGCAACATCTGCAAATCAAGGCTTCTCGAACAACAGCAACAACGGCTTGTGGCAAGAAATGCCGCCACGGTACCCTCCAGGACATCGATTTGGTGTGCCGACTAGCATGGCAACGGATATGATGAGCAACAACGACGACCTTACCAGACTGCTGGACCCCAATTACTCCATTGATGACAACCCCACCAGTATGGCCTTTGGGTCAGCCCCCAACAACAACCAAAACAACAGTAACAATAACGGAACGGATCTAAGGTTCGGGAGGAGAAGCTAGAGAGAGGTGGGATGTTTTGGAGAGAGCACTAATGGCCCAGAAAGTCACTGTTGTGAGTAGGAGTGCATTTTGAGATCTGCCAAGGTCAGTAATACTTATGACTGTCATAACCTCGCAGTGAGTAACCCACCGCACTTAAAGCGATTAAGCCACAAGAAGGGGAAAGTGCGCTTGAAACTCCACTAGACGATCGTCGGGATGAACCACAGCTGAAATCGTGCCTGCCTATGCCTGATTTACAATGACATTTCCTTGTCTCGATGTATTGATGGAGATGCCTACCGGCTCCCGAAGAGCAACCCGAGATTTAAAACTTACATGGGGATAATGAGGAGGATGAGGAAGGAAGATGGGCTGAGAGTCAGATAATATTGTACTTACTACACTTGTACAGTGGCGTGGACAACAAGACGTCGAAAGATGACAGGATACTGCAACAGAATTTGAAGACTGGGAAACCTTTTACACAATCCATGTTTCCTGATCGGCGGACACGATAAATACATCGTGAAGATGACCCCAGAAACGGGGAAGCCGTCTTGGGAAGCTCTGCATTTCAATTGATTATTCCATGCCGCACCCCTAACGAGCCTGATCGCATAAGCCTATACTCTTAGGGCATTTCGCTAATAATTATTTACTAAAGAGAACTTTAATAATTCCAACTTTTTTTATAATTATTTAGAATAAGATTTCTAAATCTGATTTAATTTCTTTTATCTTATATATTTAAGTTTAAAGAAAATAGAATTAGTAATTCTTAAATAAATATAAAATAAAATTATTAATTTTAATTTTATAAGGCTTAGAAATATTACTAAAAATATAAATTTATATAATTAGATTTATAAATAAAAAAGAGTTATATATTTTAAAATAATTATTTATAATTATATATAATATTTATTTTATATTAAAAATAAATTAATATTATATTAATAATATATAATTAAAATAAATAAAATTTAAATTTATTTAGTAAAAACTTTTATTATTTATAATTATCGGTTTACTAGTAATATATAGTACTATTATATAGTTATAGAAGTACTATTTATATAAGATTAGTAAAGTTATTATTTAGAAGTAAGGATTATAATATTATAGTATTAATATATAATTTCTAAATCTACTAAGCCTAAAGGAGTCTAGTTTACTAGTCGAGTTACTAATAAAATATAAGGTTATATAACTATATCCCGTATTCTATATCTTATTACCTATATCCTGTATCCCGTATCCTGTAACTATATATATAACTCCTAAAGAAATAGCTATATTAATACTAGAAACTTTCTAAAAATGCAAAAAATAGTATCTTTTTCTAATTATATATAAATTCCCTAATTCGGCCTAGTACTAGATTTCCCAAATACTTTATATATTTATATTACTTCTAAGGTTTTAGTTATATACTAAGGGCCGTGGCCTTTTATATATAACTTCTCTTTCTATAATATTTTCCTATCTTATATATCTATTTTTCTATTCTATTTGTATTTAATCTATTTCTTTATATTTAATTATATAATATTCGTATTAATAAGGTACTTAAAGGCATTTAATGGCTTTGATTTTATTATAGAGTTAGTAGGATTCGATTCTCCCTTAATTTACTTGACTTCTATAATCTCTCGTTATTTATATACCTGGTAGAGGTATATTATATTGATTATTAGGTATTTCTCTCGAGTAGTACCTAATTTAATAAGGTATTTATATAATAACTTTGAATTCGTATAAATAACTAGTAGTAATTCCATTTTAAGTATTTTATTAATTATAGATTTAACTAAAGTACCTATATTAAAACCATAAGCTATATTATAAAGTTCTAAAGCTAAAATACTTCTAGTAATTCTCTTATATTTAGTAGAGAACTAGTAGATAATATTAGTATATCTAGTTCTATTTACTAGAACTAGAATATATCCGATTTAGGAGAAGAGATCTCTATTATTTATAAATAAAGCATCTATAAAAATAATTAAATATAAGAACTCTTTTACTAGCTTTATAAATCTTAGTTCTCTGGCGGTATTCTTAATTTACTATTAAATATACTTATTAAATACCTTTATATTAGTTTCCGAGGATTTAATAGCTTGAGTAGTAATTAATAGATTATATAAAGCTTCTAGTTAATAGACTAATATAATATATATTCCTCTAGTATATTAGGTAATATATTAGTTTTTAATAGAAAGATTTTAATAAATAGTACTTCTATTACTTATAGTAGTAATATTTTTTATAGAAATAGTTCGGAGGTTTTTATACTAGTATTCCTATATAAGGATAATTCTAGTAGTATCTATATAAATAATACTTCTATTAAACTTGAGATTATAATTAAAAGTAAGGGATTTATATTCCTTAGCCAAGAACTTAGTCTTATAGAGCTTTAGTTATTTTGCCTTTATAAAATTATTAGTTCCGACAAATAAGGTATTATTAGTTTAAAGGCTAATAATTCCGAAGGGTTACTTATTATAGAGGAAATAAGGGTTATAAGTCGACTATTCTATAAAAAGCTTATTAATATAATAGAAATAATAAGTTTTAAACTAGTAGTTCCTAGCTTCCGATATATTATATAATGGTTTTATAACTTTTAGAATAGAATTATACTTTAGATTTAACTCTCTAGTAAGCTTATAAGATAGGTTAATATAGAAATTATAATTAAGTAAGATTATTAATTAGATATAAGCTTATAAGATATTATATAAATATAATTCTATAGTATTTATTATTATAATAGTAATACTAAAGATAATTCTCTAGCTAATATATTAGATAATAAGTAATTATATTAATACTATATATTTCTTACTATTATTATAAGCTTGGATAACTAGTTTCGATTTCTTAAGTTCTTTTTCTATATCTTTATTCTTGATCTTATTAATAAACCGGGAGTTAAAGATATATATTTCTTTTAGTATCTGAGATCTAAGAATAACCTTAAATATATTCTTTTTCAGGAAATTAGTAACTTTAACTTAATAGGAATCCTTATATAGTTTATTATCCTATAGAAATACCGTAATATCTGAGGTCTTATAAGGGTATTTTCTATTATATTTTAGTAAAATAATAGAAGGAATTATACCTGTATTACCTTTAGCCTTACTATTAGATTCGGAAACAGGTTTAGGTTCGGGACTATTAGTAATAACCTTAATATCCCCTATATAAAAGGGCTTTATAGAAGTCGAACGAAAGATAGTATTACTATATAGTAGAGCTAGTATATAGTTCTTTCTATTAATAGCTACTAGCTTATATAGTCTATCCCAATTACTAGGTTAACTAGTATTTCTTTTATACTAAATAAGAATATTTGAATTTAAAAATAGTTTATAGATATTAGTAGTACTAGAACTATTTCGGGTATTTAAAGTATTTATAATTTAATATTTAGTTTAAAGCTTCTGAATTTCTATTATTACTTTTTTAAATACTACTAATTACTATAATATAGTAGGTAATAAGATATTATATTTAGTTATTCGAGATAAAGTATTATAAACCAAAAGAGTTAGGATAATACTATTAGGTCCTATAGAGTTATTAATAGCCTTAAAAGCTATTTGAAATATAGTATTCTTATTAATTCTATTAATTTCGGCTATAATAATAAAATAGATATATTAGATTAGGCTATAGTAGTATTTTATAATTCCGATAAAGTTATAAGCTTTTATAGAAATAATCTTAACTTTAGTTTTTATAATATTTATAAGCTAAGCAAACTTCTTACTAGTAAACTACTTTCTAGTATCTATTATAATTTAATTAGAAGGGCCTAAATAGTTATTAATTTAGTATTACTTAAATATATCCCAAATATATATTATACTAATATTCTAAAGCTATTAGCTGGCTTAATATCGAGTATTTTTATTAATAATATAGAATATAGACTTACTAGAAATATAGAAAATATTAATAATAATAGAATAATTAAAGCTAATATTATCTTTTAGGTTAAATTTAAATTATTCGAATAATTAGCTATATTTCTGATATTACTTATAGTACTTTATAAGATACTTAAGGGCTTCTATATTAATATTATAGCCTGCTTATTCTAGTATATTTTGAAGCTTACTAATAAATAGATAACTAAAATAATAATATAGATATTATAATTTAATCTTTATAAAAAAGCAGGAATTATAAATAAAGAATTCGAAAATAAAGCCTTATAATATAGTATTTCAAAGCAGGAAAGAGTATCTGAAATATTATATTATAAGTATATATTTTCTAGTAAAAATAATAAGATAATTAGTAAGATTATTAAAGTAGACTCTTAGCTTATCTATATTAGCTAAGCTAAATAAAAATAGAATTTTTAAAGATATAATATAGAATTATACTTACCTAATTAGTATACTTACTATTATAGATCTAATAGAAGATATAGATCTAATACTAAACTAGATATTAATTTGACTTTTAGTAGTTTTATTAAGTTTAATACTATTATTAGTTTACTAGAGAGCTTGAAATTAGTTAGAATTAGTAGTTAAGTATCTGGAAGCTCTAGTATTAATTATAATTCTATAAAAGCAGTAAGTATTATATTTTAATATACTATTAACTATAAAAGTCTGGGCGTTTTCTATTAAGAGTTTAATAGGCTCTAAGATATGGTTTTTGCCTATTATCTAATATATAAGGAAAAGAGAAATAAGGTTATTTATAAGGATATTAGCTATAATTATTAGTAGAATAGGAATAGTAAAAGTAGCTAAAAAGCTTTTAACTAAAATAAAATAGGAATCTGGGTAGTATTTTTCTTTTTTATTCGTTTTTACTAATAAAGCCTTAAAAGTATTATTTACTAGTTTATTCTTATTATCCTTATTATTTTCTTTGCCTTTAGCTTTAGTAATATACTATATATAAGTATTACTAAAGTATTTATTAAAGTTATAGGTATTTCGGGATCTAAACTAATAAATATTTCTATTTCTAAATTAAGCCTTCTTAGCTTTTTATTTTTCTAATATATATTTCTATAAGCGGTATTCGGGTTTCTTATATATAAAATACGATTTCGGGATATAATTATTATAATTATAGGACTTGAAGTAATTATTACAGGTTCCGAAATTATAATTAGGTCTGTATTAATAATTTCCGGAGGAATAATAGCTTAGAGAATTCTAAGAGTAATATTATTAATTAGTAAAGAAGGTTTCGGGATTAGCTTATTATTTGCTTTTATATATAGTAATAGATAACTAGAGCTTATTAATAAGCTAGCCGAGATTTGTAGGAAGGTCTGAGATTATATATTTATATATCCGGAAGCCTTAGTAAGAGGTAATAATGTTATTATAGAGGAATTCGGTATTTTATAAGTTAGATATAAGACTATACTATAATTAATATAATTCGTTAATTAGTAATTAAATAGTTTTAAATATTATCTTTTCCGGAAATTTAGCTATTATAGAAGCTAATATAGTAGTATTTCACTTATCTAAATTTTGATATTTGAATTTAGGGCCTTTAAAAAAGCTATAGATATTAATATAAGCCTCTTTATATATATATTAAGAGAGCTAGTTACTATAGAAATAGTCTTAAGCTAGTTCCTTTAGTATAATAGGAAAAGCTCGTATTAGTATCTCTTATAGAAGCTTTATATATTAGTAGATATTAAGGAAAATAGTAAATTTATAATTAAAATTACTATTAGATCTATTATATTTTTATTCTTTAATATAGATCTTAGTAACTTCCCTAATAAGTTTTATAGTTAAAGGAAATTAGGGATTATTTAGATATAATTATAGTAGTAATAGTAGTAGAAGTATACTATTTGTTTCTGGAGCTTCTATACTAGTATATAAATCTGGTAGAGATATAGGATATAATAGTAAAAGGAATAATAAAGGAGGTAATAGTAGTATAGGAATATTAAAGATAATAGGTTCTAAGTACTTATTCTTTATAAAAGTAATAAAGCCTAATAGGATTAGTTCCTTAATAAGGTCTAGTCTGGCTACTAATATATTCTCGTTTAACTATATATACTATTTATTCTTTTTTATAATAGTATATAAGATATTTATAATAGTATTAGTATTACTATTCTATTATATAAATATATTACTATACTAAAGAATCTTATATAGGTATAATATTTCTGGGAGTTTGAATTTATTAAAGTTCCTTTAATAGGTAAAGTCCTTAAAATTATATCTAAATAGCTCCCAAAGGTTATTATTAACTATTTTATAGAAAATATATTAAAATAGCTTGGTATCCAAAAATTTAATTATCTTATTTACCTTAGTAAAGTTTAGATTAATTCTATATCTTTACTTTCTTACTAATTTCTTGAAATTATTATTATCTATAAAGTAATCGGATTAGATAGATCTAATAAAAGAATTATTTATTATAGTATATTCTGCTATTATATATTCTATAGGCTTATATCTAGTTCGAGGTATAGTAGTTTATAAAAAGGATAGGTTTATAAAAAAGAGAGTGGTTTATAAAATAGGTGATTTATAATAGGTATTATATTTAAGATAAAAATTTCGTCTATAATAAGAAATTTAGGAAATAAAATTTAAAGAGTAAAATATCGAGATTCCGGAAGAACTTAATAGTTCTAAAGCTCAAGAGCCCTAGAAGTTTAAAAGAAAGTAGTTTTTAAAAGGGTTTTATAGAAATTAAATAGGAATGAAATAGGATAGTTAAATAACTAACCGTTTTAATATTTAGTAAGATCAAGTATTCTTTCTGCCTATATAATCGAATTATAGGTAATAGGACTAATAGATATTCCCCCCTTTAATATAGTATAATTAGGCTTTAGTAAAATTAAGTATCTTTCCTGTTTATATAACCGAATTATAGATAATAGGATTAATAGTTATTTTCTCTTTAACTGGAATAATGGCTTTGCCCTTAAGTAACCGAATCTTAGGCAAGTATAGTTTAATTCTTTCTAATCTATAAGTACTAACTAATTAGTATTAGTTTATTAATAATATATAGTACTATTATATAGTTATAAAAGTACTATTTATATAAGGTTAGTAAAGTTATTATTTAGAAGTAAGAATTATAGTATTATAGTATTAATATATGATTCCTAAATCTATTAAGCCTAAAGGGGTCTAGTCTACTAGTCGAGTTACTAATAGGATATAAGGTTATATAACTATATCTCGTATTCTATATCCTATTATCTATATCCTATATCTCGTATTCTGTAACTATATATATAATTCCTAAAGAAATAGCTATATTAATAATAATAAAAAAATAAAAACTAATATTATTATAATATTTTTAAAGGTTTTAAAAAATAATTATATTTTAAATTAATATATATTAATAATAATTATTTTAATTAAAATATAATTAATATATATTTTTAATAAATAAATTAAATTAATAGCTAGTATTTTAATTTAATTATTTAATATATTATTAATAAATAAAATTAAAACTAGAATAATTATAAAAATAATAAAAAATATATTAAAATATATTAAAAAAAAATTTTATATTTTATTATAGCCTATAAAATCTAAAATTAAATAGTTCTTAAAAAGTTTTAGCTAATAGTTTTATTTTATAAATCTAATTATATAAATTTATATTTTTAGTAATATTTTTAGGTTTTATAAAACTAAAATTAATAATTTTATTTTATATTTATTTAAAAACTATTAATTCTATTTTTTTAAACTCGAATATATAAGATAAAAGAAGTTAAATTAGATTTAGAAATTTTATTTTAAGTAATTATAAAAAAAGTTGAAATTATTAAAGTTCTCTTTAGTAAATAATCATTAGCAAAATGCCCTAAAAGCACAGACTTATGCGATCAGGCTCGTTAGTCGTTCCCGTACCGGTGGCCTGCGGTACAAGGTTTTGCATTTTGTAAGAATTGTTCCCTGGATAGACTGGCGGAAGCGGCCATTGTGAACCCGGTTGCCCATCTTGATTCGGTGGTCTAGGGTCAGGGCCTATGTCACCAGGAGTCACTTCGAGATTGGCATTCTTTTCGTGGCCATCTTCATGCTCTTGAGAGGGGCCTGTAATGGTTTTGCGATCGTCTTCCCAACTGTCGCGACTTTCTGATTTCGACATTGTAAATATAGGTTCTCGAAAAACAACAGAATACCATCAGTGTGAAGTGCAATCAAATCTAGTTCAGATCGGTGTGACTTTGGAGACATATATGTAGACGGCGGAAGCTCAGGCAAACAAGAATAAGGGCAAGATTTCCAGGGGATCGGCTTTCCAGTAATAAATATTTAATAATGCGCGTTGTTTTTGCTCGTGCTTCATCAAAACTCCATACGATAAACAAAGCCATTGTTTGGTCAAAAACAATCAACAACCATCTCACGCTTCTCGGACGTGTTTATGGGGCGATTGTTCCCACGAAGAAACATCACTTTATCTTTATCAGAAAGTTGAGGTTGTTCTAAAACTCTCGGTTCAACGAATCGGTCCCGTCTAAGCCACACCGGACCCTTTTTGGCAGGAGGTCCCTGCTGGTGCTGCAAAAATGTTCGGATCGGTCCATCGCAAGGAAGGTCTACACTTCTCCGATTGGGCGTCCTGCAGGGCTCCAGAACCTTATTAACTTTCGCCCAGTGATACAGTAAGAAAAGGTAAGCGCCAAGTAGCGCCAAGTAGCGCCTCGTATTTCAGTGTGCACACCAATTTATCATCGTCGAATACGTTGCAGCCCTGCTTTAGCTGAATCATCCAGATACTGCTAAATAGCTGTCGGCCGACACTTCTTACGTACCATTGGGTCCAAGGAAAGCAGATGTACACCACGTACAAGGTATAAAGCGAGCCCCGCTCCATGGATGAGCTTAGTATTTTTCTTTTCTTCAACTTTCATACATTTCTTCGAAATGGGTTCAAGTAATGCTCCTTGGGCAGATGCGCCCTTCGCCCTCATCTCGAGTCCAGGACGAGGTGAGAACCTCCAGAAGCTTGATGATGCAGTCTTCATTGCGCGCGAAATGGCGAATGCACACAATGGGATGCTTCGAGCCCTCAATTCCATTTATCAGCAGTGCATCTTTGTCAAAGAACCAAAGGATGTCAAGGACTTGCTCCTGTATGCGACGTTCTGGTGTGATTGGATTCATGAACACCATACGGGCGAGGAGACGTTCCTCTTTCCGCAAATCGAAGAAATTACTGGAGTGAAGGGGTTAATGGAGGTCAATGTTGAACAACACCATGCGTTCATGGAGGGATTGGAGGCGTTCCATAAATATGCGAAGGAAACCAAGGTCGAGGAGTATGACGGGATGAAGCTGAAGGTGGTCATTGATCGCTTTGGTGGGAAATTGACGAAGCACTTGACTGAAGAAATCGGGACTTTGTTGGGCTTGAAAACATATGACGGGCCGGCGTTGAAGAAAGCGTATCTGAAATTCGATGGAGAGATGAGGAAAGGAGAGAAGGTGAGCGAGACCTCTAAGATCGAGGGTCTATTACTGACCGTTGGCAGAGTATACTGTATCCGATTGTTTTTGGTTCGTCTGACAACAGCTATGAAGAGGGCTTCGAATGGCCTGAAGTACCAGGGCCTATTCGAGCTCTTGTGCATTACTGGTTCGAGAGGAAATATCAGGGCGTTTGGAGGTTTTGTCCATCGACTACGTGGGGAGAGCGTCGACCTCTCATGTTTACAGAAAAGCAGAGTTGAATAGCAATTTGAGATGGGTAATGAAACGCTTGATAGGATTTCATACTTGGGAGGACAACGGTGTCACTGGGAGTTATAGTATTGGCACTTGCCAGAGGGTTTGTAATGATCTTGATCAATTTGAAGAGACATCACTTGAGAAGCCCTCGTGCAATGTGATTGCTAATTAGACAGGTTGCTTAGCAGCTAGACAGATCTGCATCTGGGTATATAGCGAGAACAGAATGCCAACAACCCATCTTTATGCAAGCTCATCCTCCAAATCTGTAGAAGATCTCACACGTGGCGTCGATACCTGTGACTTGTCCCCATCACTATCCGACTTTGAAGGACTTGCACTCATAGGTTCATCAAGGATCCTCATGCCTCCCTGATCATCCCAAGCAATTCGCCCCTCCATCGCAGCTCTCATGAGCTCGGGACGAGCAACTTCCTTATCGCCCGTGAATGGATCCCACTCAAATCCCTCCTTTAACCACATCCATCTCAAGTACGCTCTCAGCTCCTTATCTTCGGGCACAACCCGCATCCATTCGGGTTGGAAGCCCTCTCCCCTTCCCTCACCATTCCATCCATCGGCCTCGCTTCTGAGCTTATCTCGACAGAAAATCCTCCAAGAATCAATGGCGTAGGGTCCTTGCGTCATGTGTCCAATCTCCCAAGCATGTCTTTCATCTTCATCGCTCAAGATCTCACCCTTTTTCACATCTCGGCCAGCCTCTGGATTCGGATACCCACGAACAAGATATCGCTTTCCCTTCGTGGGAGGATCCTCCAGCCAGATCTTGGCGTACATTTGATAAGTGCTGGCTCGCTGATTCTGGAGACCGAGATGTCTGATAATGGGAACAATCTCTTCTTTGTCTGCTGCGACCAGAGATTCGGGAGTCGGATATTTCTCCATTAGTTCGAAGAAAACGGGAATTGCATGCTTGCCATGCGTACGGATCAGGAAAGTGACAGCGATTAGAAGGCGGAAGGGGTCGTGCGCAAGCTTTTCCTGGATGAGTCCAAAGTGCGGTGCCGAAAGAGGTGGGAACGGAATACAAGAGATCGTTTTTCCTGGTAGACGCTTCTTTTCGGATCCTGGGGAGGCTGGTACGTTCCCGTTCTTCTTTCGTGGAGTTTTGGGCTCGTCGGCCATGCTTGCTTTGTTAGCTTTCTGCCCTTGGCTTTTCCGAGTGATCTCTGGAGAGATAGGAGGTGTCGGAGGGACGAAGTAAGGTGATTTGGCAGGCGCTTTCTTTGCCTTAGCTGGCTTTAATGCCGACTTTGCCTTAGGTGGCTCATCATCATCCATGATAGCTTCAGGCGAAGGACTTTCCGAGTCTTCTCCCAACATTGAGCTCTTTGGAGACTGTACGGTAGTCTGCTTCGGCGCAAATTGGCCGTTTTCATCTCTTGTGAAGGCCGGTGTCTCTTCTGGGCCGGCGCAGACGGGAAATCTTCGCTTGGCCAAAGGTTTTGGTGGGGGGATTGGAGTCTCTTTCTTCGGTGCAAATCTACCCTTCGAATCTCGCTCAAGAGAACCTAGTGGGTTGTCCGAAGATCCCATGGAGGCACGCCTCTTCGCAGGAGTAATAGTTGAAGCCCCAGGGTTTGGCGCGAATTTTCCATGCTTATCCCTAAGCAGAGGACGTGGTGCTTTATCCACCACTGAAGACCCCATAGAAGCTCGTCTCTTGGCGGCTGTATTGCCAGGAGTCCCATCTTTCGGTGCAAATCTGCCGTGCGCATCTCTCTTTAACGTCAGCGTTCCAGAATTCGAGGACGCGGATGTTCTGCGGCTTTTAGGTTTGATGGAGCTGGACGCCGAGGAAGAATTCTTTGGTGCAAATCTTCCTTGGGAGTCACGCTGCAACGAACTCGTTTTCTTCCCTGACGTAGAAGTTGAGCTTGTGGAACCTCGTTTGTTCTGAGGAGTTACGGGATCAAGTTCATAGAAGATCCGGGCCCGATTATCGGGTGAAGCTGTCGAACCCTTTCTTGTAGTTTTCGGTGTGAACTCCATTTCATCCAACTCATCGCCAGTATGGTCCCAATCCATCGAACCGTAATGAGTCATGCTGAAAATAGAAGTGTTATCATCGCCTGCTTCTGGAATTAGATCTTCCATTGGAGGCGAAGGCTGAGAACTGGCTGACCCGTCAACTGGAATCCAAGTTTTGGAGGGCGTGTAGATAACCACGTTAATGTTCCCCTTTGGTGTGCCTGAGGGCCCAACATTGTGCTCGTCATCACTCTCACATCCCTTCCAGGTTGATTGTGTTGCCGTGTACTCCTCTTCAGAGTCTTCCATCCTAGCTAGAGCATCTGCTTCCCCACCATCTCCGGTATCAAGAATCATCTCGGTGTACTGAGCACTCGTGTCGACATCCAGGAGCTCACTACCACTCGCAAAGTCCTGGCCTACTGCGAGTGGTGGACTTTTGACGACTGATTTGATGGACGAACGCTGACCTCCATCGCATCTGCACTCGTGGCTCTCTTCTCGGAACAACGAATTCTCCCTCCCAGCTTGACATTAGTATCAGGAAGCTCAGTTAGAGGCTCAACTGCAGCTGCTTCGCCAACGTCTGCTGAATCGATGTTCCCCTCTCCAGCCTTAGCTTTGCTCCGCTTGCGCTTCTTCTGGGAGGAAGGCTCAATTGTCTCAATAGACTCCAAGAGATAATCGGAAGCAGGCATAGGAGCTTCAGCAATGGCGGGCTCGCCAGCATCGCGCATTTCCGAGTCCCCATTTTTGGTCTTGGGTTTTCGTCCTCGTCCACGGTCACGGCGTTTATTCGGTCGGCCAGTGCCACCTCCAGCATCCGGAGCAGACTGGGAGAAGCTTTTTTGGCTGTTGTCTTCATGCTTCACGGCTGATGTCTTGGTAGAAGCCAAACCGGGCATATGCACCTTTACAGTATCTTCGGCAAGGCTCGACTTCTGATATCCATCATGACTTCTCTTCTTCGACGGCATGTCAAGTGCCTCATCTGCGACCACCACACTGGCAGTGGTAACATTGTTGACAGATTGTTCATCCACAAGGCGATTCTTGTTTCTGTGCCTCTTATGATTCCTATTCTTCTTTTTCTTTTCGACGGGCTCAGGCTCTGCGGTCGTCTTGCTCAAGTCCTTTTGATCCTGCTCCTTTGCAGATACCTCTTTGACCAAAAGAAGGACCTTCTCCACAGCTTGTTTAGCCTCTTGAGCCATTTGCTTGACTCGGTCCAGGTGAGCTCCATGCCCTTCGTCTGCTACCTTTGCCAACAGCTTCTTTGCCTCCTTCAATTGCCTCTCCTCCTCCTGACGAGACGGTTGAATAATTGGAGCTTCAACATCTGTTGACTTTGGAGAAGGGGCTAGATCAGCTCTGGGAGTAGTGGGGAAGTATCCGGATTTCTTTGGTCCCAATTTGGCCTTCTTCCTGAGGCGCTTCTTCTCGGCCTTATTTCTTCTCTTCTCCTTTAAGGCGAGACCAACTGACTTCTCAACCGTTGCCGACAAGGAGACATTGTCGCGAGTAGAGTTTTTGGAAGTGGAGGCGGCTTTTGGTTGCTTGACATAATAAGTTTGCGAAGTTTGGAGCTTCGGGCCATCCAGAGTGAGAAGATTTTGCGAGCTCTGGGCTTTGGTCTCTGATACAGAAAGAGACGCGGAACATGAGCTCTGCTTTTCGATTCTTGCAAGTCTGCGCCGAGCTTTCTTCTCCGCCTTTCTTCGCCTCTTGAACTCCTGAACTGATTCCCCTCTATCAGATTTTGTCTCGTCAGTTGTGGCTTCCATCAAGAGCTGGGAAGGTAGAGTAATGCCTCTCTCGATCTTCCAAGCCCCTACGGCCTTCCCTACCTCAACATCGGCCTGTAGATCCGAGAAGCCAGCAGCTTTAGCAAACTCGTGAATATCATCCTTGTATTCTTGAAGCTCATCGTCGACCCACTTCTTCTTCTCCCTGAAGGGATGATCCTCTGCAAATAGCTTCACACGCTTGGTCCTTTGTACATCAGGAGCGATGTCCGAGAGCGACTCGACTTCTGCAAAAATCCTGGCACGCTTTGTCTGCTGAGAATCAGGGGCGACCTTCGAAAGAGCTTGAGGTGAAGTTCGTCGAGTTTTGCCAGTGAGTTCCATGACTGCCTCCGGTGGCGCGATGTGCAGCATTTCATTGAAGAACTCCTTCTCCACTGGATTGACGTCGAAGCCTTCAAACTCGTCTTCCACGGCCGATTCAGCTTCGATCTTCTTGTCTTGCTCCTCTCCCCTCTCCCCTTCAGCTTCAGCTTCAACTCGATTGTCTTGTTCGGCTTCATATTCCTCTTGTTCTTCAGCCTCACTCTCACTCTCTTCCTCCTCGTCACTACTAATCTCTATCACTTCTCCAGCTTTGAAGCCTGGCACACGGTATTCCTCAACCACTTGCCCAGCTTCCTGTTCGTCCTCGGAGGCAGAAGCACTCGAAGGTCGAGGTTGACTCGAAGGCGGGGCATCGTCTTCCTGCTCCTATTACCTCGCATTAGCCAATTAATCTCCTAAACCCCTCCTTCCACCATCATCTCGCCCTGTAATCAGCAAAACACTAACCTCCTCACTTTCCACATCTGAACTTGGGATCTCCCTCCCCGGTGAGCCCGTTGCTTTCCCCCCTCTCATCGCCCCTCCTGCGAGTATGCGAGTCCCAAAACTCAACGGATGCCCCATCCCCCTCTCTTGTGCCTCCTCATCACTACTCCTAGCATCGTTGCTACTATCCCGATCCCCCCAAATGCGCCTCCTCTCTGTCCTTTCCATATCCTCTCTTTCGCTCTCCCCAAGAGATTGCGAAGGATGCAGAGCTTCCCAGGCCGCGAATTCGGAGATATCTGATATTGATCCTGTAGGATCGGAGGGGGACATCAATTCCTCGCTCTCGATCGCATCGAAGGAGAAAAGAATTTGCAGAACAGGTGTTGGTGGTGGAAAGGAATGCGAGTATGGTTATTGAAATCGAAGAGTGAGGTTGAAGCGCTGGAGATTTGATAATTTTAGCGACAGGGTTGGTGGAGCTCAGGGTCTCTTCTTATCACAGTATCACAGGCGTGGATTTTATTTGATCGGAGGGAAAAGAAAGGAACGGGCGATTCACGGGTAAGAGCATTAAGAGAGGGTTGATTTCAAGTATTGGCACAGACACACGTCTAAGATCTCTACGGCATGCTTCCAGATTGAAGCTCCCATCACATCCCTCTCCCCACCCCTTTGTACAAATAGAACTAATAGAACAATTCTTCCCCTCTGCTTTGCATACGACAAAATAAATTCCCCGGAAGAGAGTTTAGTGTTTCCCGCCTCCTTGAATAGGTGGGTTATATGCAATCTTTCTTGTCTTGATGGGAGACCATTTGTACCGCTTGACCCAGACGCTTAACGCAAACAGAGCCGTTCCGATGACCAAGACCTTCATGCCCATCTTCTTCCTTTGATCCATTTCCGGCTCTGCGGACCAGTTCAGGAACTCCACGACGTCCTTGGCCATTTGTGATGTCGTTGCCGGAGTTCCGTCCTCATATTCGACCAATTCATTGTATAGAACTCGAGCCATTGCAATACCAGTGCCAGGGAAGTAGGGGTTAAAGTTGAGTCCATCTGGAAGCTTGACTCCTGGTGGAGGCTCCTCGGGGTATCCGGTCAGCAAGCTGAAGACGTAGTCGCAACCACCGTGGCGGGCTTTGACCATCAAGCTCAAATCCGGAGGCAAAGCACCGTTATTGGCAGCACGGGCTGCTTCATCGTTCTTATATGGACTAGGGAGGTAGTCGGAGAGCTTTCCTGGTCGCTTCTCGATTTCACCCTCATCATTGGGTTCGCTATCGTACTCGTTCTCTTCAGCCATTGCTTTGGCTTCGTCAACGGTGTGGGTTACGCCGACCAAGGATCGGTAGGGAATTCGGCTGAGAGAGTGGCAGGACGAGCAGACTTCGCGGTAGACCTGGAAACCTCGACGAAGGCTATGAAATGTCAATTGGGGGGTCCTTCTCATCTTATATGGAATCGCTTACGTCTGGTGGTCGAAAGTCTTTAAGTGTTGTGTATGAACCCATGGGTACTTGGTTGCGTGAAGGCTGTTACAGAGTCAGCTGTATGTCCTTTTCCACGACTGAATGTCGTCTTCAATTCAAATTCTCGATGGCTCCAGCTCGATTTGGGATTAGATCACCGGTCCAAAGCAATTGAAGCCCCATCATGTAAACTAACCCTTCTTCTGTTGGTGTCATGGCATATAATTCTGAGCCGTAGAGATGATAGTACCATGCCAATGACCCAATGGCCACAGCAGTCGCAGCCGTTCCAGCCATGTTCAATTGGAAGGGAGAAGCGTCGGCGGAGGAACTTGAGGAGGATGCGGCACGCTGTGATACCCATTGTCAGCTTTCATTCCAGGTGCCAATGATCTAATCCACATGCATCGAAGCTTCATCGAGACCATGTTGCTTGCTTTAAAAGGTTGTGGTGTCGTACCTTTGAAGTGTGAACCGCCCTATTCCGAACAGCTCCGACCGCGCGCGCCGAGCGTAGAGCTGATCTGGCCAACATATTGAGCACAATATGCCTCAGCTGGAGATTAATTCGCAGAGGAGACGGCAGCTCAATTGGATGGCGGGAGTAGGGATTGAGGTCGTGAGGGGTGGAGTTGCGAGTCGTTCAAAGATTTGACCTCCCGAAAACAGCTCGCTAACGACTTACATTTGATTGGCCCGGAGCGGATGGGCTGATCTTCCAACTTCACGTGATCTGAATGACGATGAATCGACCAATCATTTATTTCAAAAGTTTATAGATGCTATCTCATGTTTGCAAGGCTCACATCAGAGCAATCTTATAAAGTGTAGTTGTAAATCTGCTCAGGACGAGGTTAAGGTAACTTTATTCTGCACTGCAGTTTTCATCGACTAGTCGTAAGAGCTGGTAAATAGATGTAGGTATTTATGGATTTCATTTCAATTACGGATCTAGAGAGTCAAATATGTACAATTCGTAAAGTTTTTTTCCTCCTCAAATGAGAGCTTTTGTTGCCCAGTTCTAGTGAAATGGTATTCGAGAACGTTTTCCTGAACGCCAACAAGATATCTAAACAGCTTCAAGAATGTCCATTGGGACTCTTCAAGATCTCTCGTCTTTGAGTGACAGCTTTTGCGAGCATCTCGAGGACTGCTTCGGTATCTTCCCAGCCGATGCATGCATCAGTGATACTGACGCCGTATTTCAGTCCGGACTTACCCTCCTTCGGTACTTTCTGGTTGCCTGCAAATGGTCAGCTATGGTTCAAGGCAGAACCTTGAGTATTCTTACCTTCATTGATATTACTCTCGATCATTACACCCATGATTGCCTCCTCTCCTTTCGAAATCTGCTCTGCCAACACAGCAGCAACCTTGGGTTGATTCTTGTGGTTCTTCAATGAGTTTCCGTGACTGCAGTCGACCATCAGTCTCTCCCGAACCCCAGCCTTCTTCAACGCAGCTTTCGCCTCTTTAATGCTCTCAACATCATAGTTGGTTCCCTTGGTACCACCTCTCAGAATAACGAAGCAGTCCTCGTTGCCCGCAGTTCCAACAATAGCTACCACGCCCGGTTTTGTGACTGACAAGAAGTGATGCGGGTGTTTCACAGCGCCAATGGCATCAATCGCCACTCCAAGCGTACCATCCGTACCATTCTTGAAGCCCACTGGGAAACTCAGACCACTAGCCAATTCTCTGTGTAACTGTGATTCTGTAGTCCTGGCACCAATTGCACCAACACTCAGTAAATCGGCCAAGAACTGTGGCGAAATCGTGTCCAGCATCTCACTTGCAAGCGGCATTCCCTTCTCGGTCAAATCCACGAACAATTGTCTACTCGTCCTCAAACCCTTGTTAATCTTGAAACTGTTGTCGATGTCAGGGTCGTTGATCAGCCCTTTCCAGCCAACGGTTGTGCGGGGCTTCTCCAGGTAGGAGCGCATGACGATCAGGAGGTCATCTTGGTATTTCTTCTTCAGCACAACCAGCTTGTCGCAGTATTCTAGAGCAGCGGGAGGATCGTGGATTGAGCAGGGACCGATGACAACTAACAGACGTTGCTTTTCATCTGTGCCTGTCACGACTTGGACAGCTTCATTGCGACCTTGCAGAACGGTTTGTTTCGACTTTGGCGTCTGGGGGATTTCGTGTTGAAGGAGGTCGGGAGGAGTCAGAGGGTTATATCCTCGAACTGTAAACCCGCGTTTCAGTTTCATCAAATGTATTCTGGACGTCCAATTGGTAATTTCTTACTGCGCCAGTCTTCTGTATCCTCCTTGTTGCCCACATTTGGGTTCGTGATGTGGTAGCTCTGCAAGAAGGGATTAGAGGATGCACTTGAAAAAGATTCCGGGATCTGGAGGTCAAATGGAACTTACTGCCATAGTTGAAGATCGAATTGTGCTTCTCAACTGCCAATTGAAGGTGGAAGAGAAGGTTTACAATTCGGTGACTCAAGTCCAAACGGCGGGGGATGATGAGGCGAGTTCTGAGAAAGGAAATTTCTGCCGGAGTGCAGCCGTTGCAGATCCATGCAGCACACGTGTTTTCTTGCAGCGCCACCTTTCTATTCTCACCATTCTCTTTCTGCTTCCTCCATCCCTTCCATATCACCCCTTACTCAATTCTATATGCTGCTTTACCATTGATGTGTTCGCCGTCAAGAGTTTCTCATGCGTACAAGCCTCTGTCAGAGCCGCTACGGAACGGCCCCATATTGGTATCTCTGCACATCCTCAACACGGCCAGAGCTGGCAAATGTGACAGAGCCTCTCCCGTTCTTGTACACTTCTGAGATCATATGTCTGATATTGCCAGCAAGAGCGCCCCCGCTCATGCAAGAGAAGGTTTGGGCCGTCACCTCGACCTGAACACACCACACTCCTGGCTCTTGAGTAAGAGTCCAAAGGAGTCCACATTGCCTCAAGCGTCCAACGTTGGAAACCAAACCTGTATTTGCCCAGATCCTCTAACTATTCCACTATGCCTCGCACTATCACGAAAAACTACAATTCCTTCACCCGGCAGGGTTCAGTCACCTACGCTCTCCCCTCACCACCGTTCTCCTCGCCAGTCGTGACCATCACCCTCCCTCCGAAGTCAACATGGACTTCTGGCCTTCATTGGCACGAAACCCACACCGAATATCTTCAAATTGTCCGTGGCACCGCGCTGGTCACGCTGAACAAAAGCACCAGGACGTACACCGCCGCAGACGGAATCGTCACTATCCCTCGATTCGCAAGGCATGAGTGGCAACGAGCGACCGCCGATGGAGAGGAACTGGTAGTGAAGGAATGGACAGACCCTGCAGACGGAGCGAAAGAAGTCTTCTTCCGGAACTTGAGTTCTGTGGTTGTTGATTGTACGAAAAACGGGCCGCCGAAGGAGTGGTGGCTCACATGGCAGCTGGCAGTTGTGTTTTGGGGATTGGATAATTATCCTGTATTTCTGAAAATAGCGTGGGTGCCATTGGTCGGCTCAACGCTCGAGTGGGCTCTCACGCATTTCTTGTTGTTGGCAGCAGTGGTTGCAGGGAAGATTGTTGGCTTGAAGAGCGCTTATGGAGAATATACTCCAAGCAATATCTTGGTGAAGCCTGCCGTGGAGAGAGCTGTGAGAAATAGGAAGAGTGAGTGAGAAACTCTGGTCAAGTGAAAGAAAACTTATTGTTTGTTCACAATAAGAGCTCTGTTTATCAGGTTCCGTGCAGGTTCCGTGCAGCCTAGTACTGTGGCATTCGGCTGACATTGATTATTGCATACTTGACAAAGTTCTGCTTCATTCCAAGCAGCCCCTCATCACCTCGAACATTGAGGTGATGTGCCTAGTGTGCCACAAATCCACACATTCTCGAGTCGTAACCATGCCATTGCTTCATGCATTGGCATTTCATACGATGATTGCCAATTATATTTGGCACCATCCCATCCTGTAAATCGACTTCGAGGCGCTTCAATAAATTCCCTGTCGTCCCATTTTCCCATCTCAAACTCGAAGATAAACAAATGCCTTCCCAGTGGCGGGATCCCGTCGGGGTAGAGCCTGTGCCATTCTGCGGGGTCCCAACCGTCCTTTATTGAAAGGTCGTCTATCCTGGTCTGCGTGTGGGACTCGTTCAATAGCCCTATCCCCAAAATTTTCAGTTTGTCGTAAAAGTTCTTGCGACAAATATATCGTTTCCAGTCCCTCATTCTCCATGAGTTGCAGCTTGGATACTCCTGTCCGAGATTGTATGGATTTGGAATATTCTCACCCAACTGGATCCGCCTGTTTTGCATTTTGGCCGACAGTGGGTTGAGCGCTGCCGTCAGACGATAATCGCCATTTGAGTTCAGCAATGCCCAAGGGTTACCGGTCCGCCCCTCCGCATTCTTATAGATTCGCTCCAGCTCATCGAGGTACTTTGATTTGCCATAAATTTCATTGTCATACCACGAACTGAAGCGCTCCAAGCGCATCATGTTCGCCGTTAAGCCTGGAACATAGTCCAAAGCTGCATCAAGGTGATGGAACACCTTGTCCAGTAAATAACGGACTGCTCTCTCGTGATCGTAATTTCTGCACTCGATTTGAAACGGAAATCCACGACCGGTATTGATACCGAGGAGCGACTTTGAAGCAGAGGATCTCTTTGTTATACATAATTGGGAATACTTCGCCATAAAGCTGCCGGCATGTGTGAAGGACACCCATACTTGGTTTTGGGCCGGATTCGTCCTGCGGCCCAATATTCTGCCAGATCATCTGTCGCAGTTCAGCCGGCAGTTTGGCCAGCTCTCCGAGATTTTGAGGCGCCATGTCGATGGTAGGGTTTGTTTGTCCCGGGCCGCGCCGTACTTGGAAGAAAATTATGCAGCTATTCTATTGGATTACTTGATCTGACTGGATGATAGCTTCTGAAGATGTAGGCCTGAAGAGACGAGGGATTGTTAGGGTATTGGGGGGAATGGTAAGCGCAAATTCTCAGGAAACATCACAAATTCACAATTGAACTTGAGATGGTCTAGGGCAAGAGAGTGTCAATTGCGGGATCTACTGGTAAGCTTTTCCAAGCACTTTTCAAAGCTGTAACCCAACCAAATCGCCAAATGCGCCACCCACCAAGCCCTTAGACCCTACGCAACTCCATCCCCACATCTCCACATCCAAATTTCCAAGTCTCAGCAAGCTAGACTCACCACTTAAGATTCCCGTACGTCGGTCCTAGTGAAAAACTGCCACCACTGATAGGATCTTCGACGTAGAACCCGACATTTCTATCACCGGTCAGCGTCCCCAGTGTGAGCTTCACCTCCTTCAGTAAATCAGCCGCAAAGTTATGGATTGATCGTGTCTCTTTATCAAACTTGTGCTCGTTGGACCGTAGGTACCCTTCAACGGAGGCTGCGGCGAGTATATTGCGAACAGCATGGTCACCCGGCAGAAAGCTAGCCCATAAAATTGCTCGAGATGTGATATACTTCGTGTTGTCCGGCGATTGGATCCAATCCAGATCAGCCTTCGTACCAATTAAGGCCTTGATGCGTTCCGCCACCAGCTTCTCCACGCCTTCAACTTGACAGAAGTCGGCAAGTCGCGCAAACTCAACGATAGCCTCAATCTCCTCAGCCAAAATTGTTGTTTCAACAATCACCCGGCCGGTGTAGATCCATTGAATAAGCAACTCGAAACTCCGAACAGAAACGGTACCCTCCAATTCGTCCAACTTCGCAATATCCTCTTTGCCTTCCTTGAAACCACCATCGAACATGTTTGCGAAGTAACGATAGTGTTGGCATAGGATCGCCTTTGACAGCGTATATTCGTGGTCTGGAGAGCCGATCTGGACTTTGACTTGAGGGCCGGAGTAGTGGGGAAGATATCTGAGGGCGAATCAGCAAGCTGCAGGTTTCTAAAGTTGGGTGAGCGCTTACGTCTTGACGAAGTCTACGGACGAAGCATCCGTGATCTTCAGGCTCTTCTGTGCCTCCATGATTCGTTCCTCTTCTGCCTTCAATTCGAGGTTCTGAGTTGGTGTTTTCGGCTCAGGTTCTTGTCCCGTCGAAGTTCAAGTTGATTGAAGAAAGGTCGCGGGAGTTCGTGGGAAAGGTTTTAGTTTGTGTGGGGGGGTCATTCACCAAGGGCAATCATGTGCTCTTCGGAAGGCGAAGCGGTGCTGCCTTCAAAAGGCAACTAAAGAGCAAGCTCGAGAGTCTTGAGCCTGCTCAAGTGGGACCTTGGGGCGCTCTATTCACTTTTGAAAGGTCTCTTCTCATGTATGCAACTTTCATAACGTGCTTCACTTTCAACTACAACTCTTTCATAATAAGCTCGTCGGACGTAAAGGACGACTTCAGAGGTAATTCAGAACGTGCCAGAAGTCCAGGAAGTAGGAGATCCTGAACACGTACAAGATTGACACCTTCGATTCCTCGATTGAAGCTCGAAATTCCGCAGCGGGAGGCGAAATGACACAAAATCTCCAAATCCAAGTATGAATCCAAGATCAGTGAAAAGGGAAGCTATCTCCAGAATTCTGCATCTCAAAAGGTCAAAGGATTCAAAGTCACATAGCCCTTACACTCAGTAGGTCTCCCAACCCTCACCGAAGCCTTCTTCTCCTTCAAATCCATTACAATACCAAACAGCGTCAAGCTCGGGCTCTGCAACGTTGCAGCCCTATTGATAGCACCCGGAAGGCCCTGTTCATCTTCCAGCATTTTTTCAATCATGCGTATCGTGGGCGGTTTCTCCGTCTCAGCAGCAGCCGCGGCCAGAAGTTCCCTCGCTCTCACAATTCTCTCAAGCGAGTCCTGAGAGAACGAAGCAGGCTTCACCCCTTCAGCATGTGGTACAATAAAGTGATTTGAATGCGCAATCTGGCCATCTTTCATCTCGAATTTGATAATGTCTAGATTGCTGAACTCGACAGATGTTGAGCCAGTGGCATCGCCGATAAACAAGTGGACAGCTGACGCTACGCCTGCTTTGTCGAGTTTGGCGAGTGCTTCAGCTTTTGAGGTGGAATCGAGAGCTGCACGGACAGAGAGATGAACTGGAAGACGACTGAAGTCGACTCCTCGGGCTCGGATAGCGTTGATGCAGACGCCTACTCCCATTGAGTTCAGACCTATCTTGCCGATGATTCCTGCCTCTGTGACCATACTGATTGAGGGCTTGGAATCTCGTTTAATGTTGAGGTGAATGAGGTTTGCCTGTTGAGCTTCCTCCCACTGAACTGTATTGTTAGAATGCTGAAATGATATGGGGGTCGTATGACGTACATCCCAGTTCTGAGCGAGAAGGGAGACATCATCTGTCTTCCATGCAAATGAAGTGCAGCCATCAGCTTCGAGACCCATTGATATTTCTTGACGTAAGTTCATCGCCAACACCGTCAGGAATGGAAGCCCAGCTCCCTGCCCGATTCCTAAACCCCCAAATCACTACATTGTACCACCAGACATTGGGGCCTGCGTTGAGTAGACTTACCTTTCATTTCTTCAACAAACTGGGGCCAGTCTTTCTCTAACAAAGGAACACATTCCTCGGCTGTTGTTGACGCTGCTGCCCAGCTCGTTTTGGCTTTCCTTTCATAGTAGGCTGTGTAGAATGCAAGTGAACCCAATACTTCTTTCTTTGCGATTGAGCCATGCTGGAAACCTATCTATAGATCATCTGTTAACTCATTTATAGCAATATGTACGAAGACCAAAGAAATAAGCTGACCTCAAATGGAGACCCGGAGACCGTGAGTTCGCGCATATTGTAGGTTGTTTATGGCGAGCGAGCAATACCTGATCAGGGAGCGTTATTGTTCCAAGAGAACTTGTCAGATTTTCAAAGAATTAGAGACACTTGGAAAATCCCTCCGTTTCTCTTCGTCTGATGGGTTCTACGACACGGAGAGAAGCTTATCGGTTCCAAGTTAAAAGATCTCAGGGCGATTCCTGGATGGAGTCGGCGCCGACCAACCACTTGGAGAAGTGCGGGGGGATACGTTGTCGCTTTTGACTTTCCAGAATCTCTGTCTGAAAACGGTGCTAAAGTTTTCCCGTTTCGCTCCTCGTATGTACGTCAAGATGATAAGCAGATTCGGCGCCGAAGGGTTTCTTGAAGTAACGTTGAGCCACTTACTGGGGAAGTGCGGGGAAAGTGGGATGCCACCAGGTGATCGGCAGCATTTAACAGCTTGAACGCATCCTCAACTTCATCAGATAAATGTGGACTCATGACTGCTTATATGGTCAAGCAGAGACTGCATATCAGTTTCTCAAAGGTGCTAGAGAGGTAGGTCTGGCTCATGAGAAAGTATGGATGAGGATCAACTCACCTGGAAGTCGACTCACTTTTCTCCAACCAGCATGGAGAAATGTCCATTTTATTGCTCAATAGCTTGAGAGTGAGTCGAAGGAAGGCTCTTTCCGGCGGTCATTTCTCTTATCGGATAGCTGAAATCAAGATCTCTCCAAAAGTTGCAGATCTCGAAACTCCCTTCTTCGCTTCTACCATTGGCTCAGGTACCTGTGCTTCAGTGGTACGAACGCTACGAGCCCACAATGCATTTCTTATCTTCCTTTTCACTCAAAACTTTCTTGGTGCATAAATTCTCCTTTCAGATCTCTTTCCTTTGATTTTAAGTGTAGACCATTCTCCGAATAGTTCTCTCTAGTCGAAATGTCTACTTCGGTCGGGCCAGTGGCTCCAATATCCAGAACACGACATCCCCAACAACAAAGCCAAAGAAAATAAAGTAAAATAACTCTAATCAAGTCAGAAGCGGAGGGTGAGATATTCAAGGCTGGTCAAGATCACACAGACATCGGTTATGGCGTCTAGTGGTCTACCAAGAAGCCCATGAGAGAGGTCCTGGCGAGCGAGAAATCCTCATGAAAAAGTGAAGAAGAACCTCGACCTTGTCTTGCTTACGGTGTTGCGCTCACCATCCCCTTATTGTTGCTAAGGAATGAACTGACTATCCATAAGATGTGCTTTGTCTACTTCCTCTCCTTGCTGGACAAGTCTTCTCTCAACTATGCAAATGCTTATGGATTGCAGAAGAACCTTAACCTCGTCGGTCGAGACTACTGTAAGCCCTCGCCACTCTACGAAGAATATAAGAGTGGGAGTTGACAAGAGACAGCCTGGATCGCATCTGTCACAAACTTCGGTTACCTCTTCGCAGCATGGCTTATGACTATACTTCAGAAATTCCCGATTGGGAAAGTCATTGGGAATATGCCGACTCTCTGGGGTATCATTCTAATGTTCGCGACGCTGGCTAAGAACTTTGCTGGTATGATGATGGCTTTGAGGATTATTCTTGGTAAGTCCAAAATCCTGATCTTATTGTAGCCTTACTAATTCGGATAATACAATGTTTTCTTGACAGGTGCCACGGAAGATGGTAACGCACCCGCTTGGATGCTCTTGACTACCATGTTCCGGATACGAGATGAGCAGCCTCTGGGTTGTAACATTGTTGACGCTGGTGTCTCGTGGGATTTGGGACATACGAATAATGCTACCCGTCGCCCGTGGCAGGTTGTCTTCATGGTTCGTCAATCTAATGCTCCTACCCATAGTCGAATTTTGAAAAGGTATTGATTAGCCGCGTCCCAGACTATGGGAGCAGCAATTTTCCTCTTTGGCATAACCCTGGTCTCCATACTCCCCTCCACACCCATCGACTGCATCTTTTTCCTCCTGCGCCGAAGACCTCGCCTCCGTCTACTGCGTCAGCCATAACCGGACTGGGGTCAAAAATTCCAAAATCCTCTGGTATCAAGTACGCGAAGCATTCGCTAACTCAAAATGCTACTTAGTCTTTGCTTCCGCGGTGTATCTCGAGACCATCAAGGGCGCAACAGCGAAGATCTGGACTACTATCCTGAAGAGATTTGGCTTCAGTGATTTGAAGAGCGCCCTGTACCAGATGCCCTGCGGATCCTTTCAGTTAAGCGGCAGAATAATTGCAGGGATGACCCTAAGCAAGTTGCTGAGTTCTCTGGTTACTATTGTGTTTCTGGGTTATGTCCCAGGTATGGTTAGTCTGGTAGGGATCATGACTATCCTGCTGGAACATCAAGTGAACCTCGCAGCCTGTGCATAGATCATGCCGACCACAGATCTTTGTATTATCCTCATCTGGCCTCTTGCTGCTGAAAATCTTGTTGGACACATCAAATGCACCTTTGTTAATGGCCTTGAGTTCGTCGGGTATGCTGCGGGGAACATAATTGGGCCGTTTTTGTTCATTCCGGCTGAAGCTCCGAGATATCCGAGCGCTATCAAATGATTGTTGAGTGTGCATACTTATGCGATACTTTTCAATATTCGTTTAGGACTAGTAATGTTGGGGGAGAATAGGAAGAGATCGAGGGATGGCCTGCCGAGTGAGGCGGTGGACGATGCTGAGTAACTCTAGTCCAGTAATTTTGAGATTGGAAGTGCTAACCGATTCTAGCTTTCATGATTTCACGGAATTTGAAAATCGAAGATTTATGTACAAATTCTGAAATACCTTATAAGCAAATATCGGAAAACTGAAGTTGAGATCTCTTGATTTGCACCAGCAGATGGCGTGAAATCGAGGTGGCGATCCATGGTTAGAACTTGCGCAGAGGGGGCTCTGAGAAAGGGATGGGCTAAGGCGGTATGACTAGAATATGTTTAGGGTCGATAACATTTTATAATGCTAATTATCGAGAGTAATACATGTCGAGTACTCTCGGTAGTAGCTTCCGTGGCTTCACCACGAAATTCCCGCCTTCAGCTTCCAGAGTTCGGATTCGTGATCAACGCTCAGAACAGTCAAGTCCCAATGTGCTGCCCCAACTTTGTACGTCAAAATTATTCGTATGGCAAGACCCATAACTTATGGATGTCGGGCCCTCCGTTAGACATTCAAAGAAAGGACCATATAACCATGCTACCATGTTTCAAAAAGGGGCTCGCTTAGTACCAAATGAACTTTGGGTCCGAAATCTCTACTCTTTAAAATGCCTAGCTCGTGACTCACTTTTCACTCGCTCCCCAAAGGATTTTCATCCTGACTGAAGCAGCTTGATCATTTAAACAATCCCCCGTCCATCAACCAGCTAATCATTTCTACCAACAATTCCACTAAATCTCGCTCTTTAACATTCTTTATGAAGAAGGCTTTCGTCACTTCGCTTCAAATCTCCCGATTTGGCAATACCACTACTTCAAAGCAATTAGCAAACCCCGCATCTCGCAGAGAACGCAAATATGGCGTCGAACAATTTTGGAAAGTTCACGGATCTACCATTTGAACTTAGATCCCAAATCTGGGAAGGCCTTAGGCCAAGCAACGATCCTATAAAATCCGACCTTCGTATCCTCCGCACTTCCCGCAGCGTATCATTAGAAATACTTCCTCATCTATACGATAAAGAAATCCTGACTTTTAAGCTACTACCCCTCTACCGCCGGAACTCTTGGATCATAGTAAGAAATCAGCTAGGAGCAACCTGGTTCTTGGAAAGCCTCTCACACGCAGTATCGCTTGGTTTCGCCGACATTCCTTACGAAAAATTGAAGGGCATTGAAATCGAAATTCCAGCACCAGATGTGACAGATCCCGGTCAGTTGATAAACCTCTGGACAAAAGTCCGGGAGTTCCTCCAGCTTCTCCAGGGGAAAGAAATGCCAGAGGTCAACATACATCTCCTCGGCACAGACTCTACTTCATGGATGGCACCTGACGGAAAGCCCCAAATATCAATCAGAGAAGAGGGGCCCCTCGGCTGGCTACCAGGGGTTGATCACGACTATCATATCATCCTTCTCCCCTTCTGCCGCCTGCGCAACTGCCGGAGCGCGAACATCTTCGCTCCGAAAGACATTGATGTTAGAAGGGACGGGAAAGACCACCGAACCCCAATTGAATTCTTTGCTTTTTCCATGCGTTTGAGAGTTCCTTTCGGCGAATTCACGGATGAAGACGGAGACAGCGATGCAGATATGAAGAAGGAGCTCGAGGAGGGGTTTCTCCAATTAGATTCTGCACTTGATGTCATTCCTGGAAAGACGGCCAGGTGGCTGAGGTTAGAACGATTTAGTACCTGGTTTGATGAGAAGGTGTTTGGGGGAAGAAGTAAGTACACCGATGAGTGGGAGAGTATCACTAAGGAGGGGCATTTCTCAGAGGAGATTAAGCATTTTAGGTGGAGGTGGAAGTGCATGGCCGCTTTCAATCCTTGTTCGGCGAAGATGAAGGGGCTGAGGGATTACGACAAGCAGGTTGCAAGAGGTCTTACGATCAATAAGTTGTTCCAGATGTGGTCGGAGGGACGCCGCCTGGTATCTACACGCTTTGAATGGTGGTGGTGGACTGACAAGCATTGGGAGAATCTTTACCGTGCTCAGTGCGATCCCGAGAAGTATAAGAAGCTCGATCGGGAGGAGAGAAAAATGGAGAGAGAAGCAGAGAGTGGATGGTTCCTGGATCTAAGTATCCTGAGCATAACGGAAGGATACCAGGTTCAGGAAGAGGCGAGTCCGGAGGATGGTTGGGATATAGAAGAATGGTTCCGTTTTTATCCGGAGGGGATACCGCCTTTGGATGAAGACTTGTTTATCTTTGAGGCTGAGATGGGTCATGTGTGGTCTGAGGAGTCACGATTTGAGCCGAGGGACAGGTTTCGGAACTGGAACGATGCCACGTTCTTCTGGGAATATAGTTGGAAATCGAAGATGTTTCTCAAGACTAGAAACCGAAGGTCCGGCTGTTCGTGTTGTGGTGAGCACTGAGGATCATGGACTGTCTCAGACTGGAAAAAGAGTTCCGAAGACGCCTCGGCCTAGAATGATGGGTTTGTCTCCTGTATCCAAAGAATTAAAAACAAAGTAGATGATAACACCGGACGCTATTCTTCAATTCTGTCTCGGAGCCCTGAGATATCACAGAATGCACCTGACAGATGCCTTGACTCATTATCAATTGAAGAGCTATCAATGAGGGGATGTGAAGCTAAATAGCAGAGAATCACATGAAATTAAGCAGTGAAGCCTAGCGAGAGCCGGGGGGTGGTATAGAGGCAGCTGCACTTGCTGCCACAATCGTATGGTGATCCGACAGCATATTTATCAATATCCCTGCAGGCTCTTGAAAACCAAGTACGGTCCATGTTATAACAAAACCCTTTCTTTCTTTGGCCGAGAGTATTTGAGCTGAAATGAACAATTCTTGTTCCGTGAAGACACCCGTTAGCTTTGGAATCCGGACTAAAGTTTGACTAAAGGTATGAAATGCTGCAAGTGGTGCCCGAGAGTAAGATAAGCAGGAGCTTCTGAAGTGGACACACTATCCATCCTGACATCCGGTTCCGAGAATGGGTTCTGTTGGGGGCAAAGAAGAAAAGAGACTGGAAATTTATGCTTGCTTTGTTCAAGACTTAAGCCAAAGAATTAGCTCAATTAGAACACCGATATCTTAGAAGTATACGCCGAAACCGAAGATTTGGTTTTCAGTCATACATGCATCTCTACTCAATACAAGATCATCTCAAGCCTATCTTGCTTGCCCGTCCTTCAATGTCATTGTAAGAATTAAGATCATGTCTAAACGTCACGAATTGAACTGAGGCAACGAGCAAAAGAAAATGAAATGTTTGGCCTCTGGAAACTGCTGAAATATGTACAACGGAATAAGCAGTCCACTCCTGTGCATCCTTTCAACTCCCAGATCTCCTAGTTCAAATCCAAGAGTCACATACTGTTCGGGACGCTGAATGTTTGAAATAATTACCTGCGGCTATGAATTCGCCTGCACCCTGCGAGTAGTGAAGGGTATGTCGTACTAAGTGGAAGTGGCTTGTCCAAAAGGCATTGCGGGTAGAATAAAGCTAGAAACCGTGGCTTCCTGCTGTCCAGAGCCAAGACATAGAAGAGGAGGACTGTGGCACTCCGGTGGTCCCGTATTATGCTCTTCGAGGAGTGTGCTTGCACTGCTTGCTCACCAGAGAGATCTACTAATGCGAATGATCTCAGGTGGTGGTCTATCAGGTGAACCGGGAACTGCGATGTCGTGTTAGCAAAGCCAATCACGCCAATCCCAGTGATGCTGAACGCACCGATAAAGGTCTTTGAAGTCAATATTTGGCTATCCCACGAAGATATGCGAATACTTCTAGTTGAAAATTTGCAGGCTTGAAGTGGATTGAGGTTGCATCAACGTTGAAGTTCTGGCAGAAACGTCTGGATAGCGGCGGGCGTTGCTCTCAGTGGAAGGGTCCAAGTCAGCTATGATTAGAGTCCGTTCATGAAATTAAGAGGGAAGGGAATCGCTTACCTGCAACGGTCATGTTTCATCACATCAACAAGAAAATCGAGTAACGTATCCACCATTGTAATGTCAATCAAGGGGAGAATCGCGATTGGTAAGGAGAGGATAGTTCGTTAGCTTCACCACCTTAGTGGCTACTAGTCTCTGGCACCACGAAGAGGTGAACCAAGCCAGAGGCTAAACGAATGTGGGGGAGTATACAGTATACTAACAATGAAAAGCACAACGAGCAAAAGCAAAACACATGACGAAAACAAAAGAAAAGAGGCACTTGCCGAATACTTACCTAAACCCCACTCTTACGATTCTCCGCCACCTTCTTGACTCTCCTATCTTTCTTCAATTCCTTTCCCGTTTTCGTCTCTGTTTTCCCTGTCAAAGTATCAATGGTTACTACTTGGAGCTTGAGATAGTTACCAAGCTCCTTCAAGGCCCTCTCCGGATTTAGTCCGATTATTTGGATGAAACCATCACGAAGATCCTTCCACAGCGCCGAGATCTCCTGGCTGGTCTCACTATTCTCCGATGGGTCATTTACAATCTCGTCATTGTCCTTATCATCCGACTTCAGGACTTTAGCTGGCGGTTCGCCGTCAAGAGAGCCCGAAGGCCCCCTTTTCCGGTGTCCCGTAGCCTCCGGATCGGACCGAAGCCCTTTCCGGCGCCCATCCGTGGTCCAAGCACTCGAAGGCCGAAAAGAACCACCTATGAAGGATTGCCTTAGAAGGACTTCCGGAAGGCGTTTAAGTTGTGCGAGGGGGGCTAGGTTCCGGCACTATGGGATTGGCGGAGAGTTTCCCCTCGAGACGCTCCATCCAGGCACCATCCTCTCCCTTCACGATTGCCCTGTCTCTATAGAACTCGATAATTCCCTCCCACTTGTCTAAGTGCTTCATTTGGTCCTCGGGGAGTATATCCGGCAGCGCCCGAAGATCCTTGTCGATGTGATGGGCCAGGGCTTCCCAATCGCGAGCTATCTTCAGGGCTCCAGCCTCTGAGTGGCAGACCAAATTTCTGTCACTATAGGCCAAGCATGCGAGCTTTGCTCCTTCGGGACCCGGAAAACCCTCATCTTGCGCAGCCAGTCTTACCATGGACTTCTCGAGTACTTCCATTGCCCGAGCATCGGCCTTCGAAGAGCATTTGCCGCGCAAGAGAGGTCCCAGATCCGTGGCTCGCGTAACTTTTGGAAAGTCGGGAGTCGAGTTCTTCAGGTAGTTGAAGACCGCCCCTGCGTAGTCACCTAACCGACAGTGTGCACGCAAAGTTGCGAGGTCTTGCTTCGCCGCGACCAGCTCTTGGTTGCTGGCTTGGATGGCTGCTGCTTCGGACTCGGTCGTTCGTTGAAGGCAGCGGACCAAGTCATGCACCTCAACCCGCGACAGAGTGACAGAGTCAGTAGCAGATCCAGCTAACTTACTGCTGAGAAACGCAATCATGAATTGCGTGGAAGCTGGTGGTGTCTGACTCGCTCGAAATTTTGGACGGAAAGCAAGAGAAGTAGAGTCGGAGGATGCCATCTTTGCCTTAGTATTTGTTTCTAATTGGAGCTTTTACTTACTCAGTTTCAATTCTCAAACTGGGAGTACAATGGCCTATTCAGAACGTTAGTAGTCGCATACGCATGGCCACAAGTAGTGGTGGTGGCGGCTTACTGTCGTAGTCGCAATGGTGATGAAGGATGGAAAAGATAAGAAGCGGGCGGAGGAAGATCAACAATTCTTTCCAAAACGTGGGAGGTACCTACCATGTTGGAAATTTCTGAACCCGACGACGTTTTGGTTAAAAGTGGCAGGTCCGGGAATGACGACTCAGTAGCGTGAACCTAAAGCCAACCGCTATTCGATATTAAGAGCGCCCAGTGGTAATAGGCCCCGAAGCAATGATATTGAATTGCTCGCCGGGCGACTCGTTTGTAGAAATGATGAACTTGATGGGGGATGAGGGATTGCTTAATGATCAAGCCACTTTAGTCAGAATTTAAATCTCTGGGGTAGTGGGTGAAACGTGAGTCACGAGCTCCGCACCATGAAAGTCGAGTTTTCAGACTCAGAACTCGGAAAGAAAACGCGTTTGATTTCGCATGGCGGATCTATCGCCTCTGGATATTTGAGCCCCTCGTTGTATATTCAGACTCAAATGCGCCGCTCAAAAAGGGGCTCGCTTGCCAGTTGCCGAGAGAGAGGCAATAGAATGAAATCGCCAGAATTGGGACATCGCAGCCATTGTACAAGGAATTGATGCAACAAATTAGTGAAATTGAAATCGCCGTCTTCAATTAATAATGTTCAGTCCCAAATCTTGTATTTCTCAAAATGTGGGATCTTCGAACTAGATAAATCAAATTTCACACACTATTGGATCACCCGTTGTCAAATGGCCCACTGCGTAGCCGCAATTGATTAAGGTTGTCAAAGATTAATAACCGCAAACACCAAGTGCATACGGTTACACAGATCACAGCAGCAGGCAGTAAGGTCTGAGTTTGATGAGAAAATGGGGATTATCACGTGATCGGTGGTGATTGGAAAGGGTGTTGAAATTAGGGGCCTGAGGCCCCTAATAGGCTTAGTAAGCCCTGGAACAGAGCCTTAGGGGCTGTGCACTAATGGGGCTTAAGCCATAGGCTTATTACTGAGTATATTATGCCCTGTGAGGGTAAATCGGTTCAGCTGAGGTTGAATGGTTCAGTATAAGGCTCTCTGGTTTAGGGGTTTAGTGCATGTGACTGGTCTGCGACGACTCAACACCTCCTCGCGGTGCAGACTGGAAACCTATAGCTTTCCGAGGATAAGCTATAGGGCTAAGATTGAGTCAAAAAAACGACGCTCCTTGAACGGTGCAATTCGACTGCGTCGTCCCGAATCGACTGTGATACGACATGATCTCGAGATCTTTCTTCGATACCCTCCCGCTCGCGCACCGGGCGCTCCCTCGACGATACCTCTCGATCTCTTACCGGAGTCCTCTCTTTTCAGCTGAGATGGCCTGCTAGCCTTGGCGATACCGAGCAGTAGTGGTCGGCATACCTCTCAGAACAGATCAGCATCTTACGGACATACCTTGCCGCCTTACATGTCTGTATAATACATCCCTTCGCGGAGATCTTCTTGTGGCACAGGGCCAAAGGTGCCAAATTATGCCGTAGCTTATGCCCTTAAGCCGGCAAGTACCTCTTGAAAAAGAGGCAGTTTCAAATCTTTGAATCGGAGGGATATGCCCGGACAAATCTCTATATTCACGAGTAGTAACTGAGGTGTGCAAGGCTCAGGGTTATTACGGATAGTAACATGGAGTATGGATGGAAATTCGTTGTGGATGGCATATTCGAAATAACTCAAGAGAGTGCTCTATATTCAATATAGTATCCCTGGGCATGGGCAAGGGAAGAGCCTCTCGAAGGAGGAGAGCGGCCAGAATGGGTTCGATTCCCTAGTTAGGTGGCCACCTGGCCAGGCGTAGTATACAAGAGATAGAGTGGCCGGGGTCCTCCTTTCTTGGACATTATCCCACCTACGAAGCACTATTAGTGGGACCGCTTTTGTATATATTGCAGCCTGAGGCGCGAGCTGTTCCCCCCCGTTCGTCAATACGAGCGATTGATCAATCGCCCCCTCCCATTGATCAATCGCCCTCCCGATTGATCAATCGTAGCGCCCGATTAATCAATGGGGGGGGATTACGATTCGGGTTCCACAGTGGGTCCCGATTGATCAATCGGGACCCCGATTGCCCAATCGGGTAATATTGAGGTTTCGGGAATGGCAAAAGCAGTATATATTAGTATACTTTACCCAAATCAAGCTTTATTATACATGCCTCCCACTTCGTCTAGGTGCTTTCATAGCTACCCTAGCCCTTTTTGGTACCCTCACACCCACTTGTTCACCTGATTCCCCTTCTCTAGCTCCATCCTCACGTGCTTGCTCAATAGCTACTCTCTTCTTTGCTCTCTCAGATACCCTTCTAGCCTTCTGAACTGACGAAATTGAACCCCGATTATTCTCCTTTGCCACTGCTTTGGGGAGGGTAATTTTGTCTTTCTTGTGGGCCGTACTAGTAATAGGCAAATCAGGATAAGTTGATTATGAAGCAACTTTATTGAGAGTATTGTGCGGCCAGAGGGTTATAAGCTCACCATGCTTAGTAGTCAACCGGTAGCCCTGTTTTTAATTAGCTTTAGCCAAAAGTATATCCTCATAAGTTATATACCTTTGAAGTCTTTTCCAGAACTCTCACTGGAATCCGAGCCATTTCTGTACTGAATCGATATTGCTTTGGGATCTGTAGGGTTGCGATCTCCTGAATATCATATTTAAGAGCTTTAGTACTAGCCCTCTTTACCATCTTCTCTTACTGTTTCTTTATATGCTCCGCAACTCTCTTAGTTAGTTCAGATAAAATCATCTCCTCTGCTACTTCCTTCTGTTCTGCTTCCTTATTAACGAATAAGCTATCCTCTCTATTCTCTTCTTCTCCTTAAACCTCAATGGTAGATGATTATTCAGAAGCACCACTCTTATTAATATCGATTTCCCTCTCTCCTAAGGCTATACGTATACGGCAAGCACTCTCCTTATGATTCAGGAAATTAGTAGGTGGCTTTCGTCCAAACCAGACCTTGTACGGCGTATTACCCTTAGGAAGGGCAGATATAGCCGTAGTATTGATTACCCATGCAATCAAAGGAAGTAATTGTATCCAAGATTGGATACCAGTATCCGCTCGTATGGCCCGCAGTCGTTTCTTGAAGATTCGATTAGTAACCTTAATAGAGCCCTGAGATTGGGGGTAATAAGCTCGTCCGCAAATAATCTTTACCCCTCTCTTCTTGCAAACCTCAATTACTTTCCCCTTAAACTCGCCCCCATTATTACAGGCTAGAATGGCAATATACCCATTGTCATTTAGCCATTTAATAAGCTCGTCTGCAGCTTCGTCCGCAGTCTTAGCCTTAAGCCCACGGATCCAAACGAACTTGGAAAAATGGCATTTTAATTACCAGATCTACGTATATTCTCTATCCGGATCATGCTATAATAATATTAGTAAGTGGTATAGATAAAAATCGCGATTTTTATGATTTTCGCGAAAATCGCGAAAATCGCAGGAAAAGCTCAAAAATGCAGGAAATGCAGGAAATGCAGGAAAGGCTAAAATAGGGGCAAATCATATGACTTAGGGAACACTTATACGGAAATCTATTAAATCCAGAACTATACGCTGGCCAGGATAATAAGATTTAATGGGTATTACCCCTGTATTATTCTTTTGAGCCTTCTCCTTATTGCAATGAGCATAATGGGCACTTATCCAAGCGTAATTGTTACGGGATGGGCCATACCAAAGTCGTCTTGTATACTCAAATACAGTATTAGAAGCTATTATATAATTAGTATAAAAATTAGTAGCTTTAAGGGAATACTTACCTGTCTGTATTAATTTCTCATAAATAGTAGTCAAAATCTCAAAGGCATTATTATAGCAAAGAGTATACCGGGCTGGAAGGATCTCATTGCGGCGAGTATCATGGTACTCCTTATGATATACTTGATTATCCTGAAGCTCGTATAAGTGGGATTCGTACTTGATATTAGCCTGGTAGCGCTTCTCTGCCTTAGTTCTACCAGGAAGCGGAGTATTAGGATTTTGAAGCCACTATCTAATATCCATACGTTTCCTAGTAGTAAGAATTTTCCTACTACCCCCCTTAGCAAGCCTCTGATCCCATGTAGCTTCGTCTTCGGCAGACCAATTATTAGTAGGCTCTTTAGTAATTAGGGAGGGCAAAAACTGGGTGCCAGACGAACGAGCTCCTGGAGTAGTAATATCAAAATATTGCTCTGCTCGCCCATAAATACGCTGACGAGGCGTATACGGGATTGGGGATGAACGAAGGGTTGAAAGAGACATATTGGAAGTAAGGTAATTGATTAATTGAGAGGTATAAAAATCAGTGGTTGTGCTTGGTAAATTGGTGCTTGTGGTACTTGTAGTGTGAACTGTGTCTAGAAAATAAGGGAGTAAAGGCCCCATACATATCTAGAAGCTCTGGAGAAGTATCTTTACCCCTATTATTACTTCCCTTAATGCCTAGAAAAAAATTAAATAAACTATGTAATGCTATAGGTATAGTATAAATAAGTGAGGTATAAGCGAAATAAGAAAATTAGACTTGAGGATATACTTAGTATTAAATATTAGAAATCTATATTATAGCATAAAGAGTAAGGCTTAAGCAAAGTGAAGAACATAGAATTGAGGATATATTTAGTATGAACTAGTAAGTAAAAGCTTTCAGCTCCCTTAGCCCCATTAGCCCCGAAACCCCAATATTATGCGATTGATCAATCGGGACATCGATTGATTAATCGGGACCCACTGTGGAGCCCGAATCGTAATCCCCCCCCCATTGATTAATCGGGCGCTACGATTGATCAATCGGGAGGGCGATTGATCAATCGCTCGTATTGACGAACGGGGGGTATCAGAGCAACTCTCCTCTCTTTAGCCTGAAAAACGTACGAGCTAATAAGGAATCAAAAACAAGAACTTGCCATTAGTGCATGTGACTTAGGGGGTTCAGGGCTATATATACAGGCTACCTACCACTATAGAACAGTAGTCAATTCAGTACGTTTTACTTGGTTTATATTATAAGCACGTGACCCTAGCTTTATTATTAAGCTAGTTCAACAGGTTATGAGTACCGAACACTACCTCTACATACTATAAATCACTGAATTAGCT